TCTCCTTCCTGTGGCAGCCAAATTCTGCCTTGACCCTTTGGCAAGTTTTGTGAAGGATTTTCCCACCCCTCCTCCTGCAATAGAAAACTTTTTTTTTTTCTTTTTTGATCCTGGGGATTGAATCCAGGGGTACTTTACCACTGATCTACATTTCTAGCCTTTTCATTTTTAAATTTTGAAACAAGGTCTTGCTAAGTTGTTGAGGGTCTTCTTAAATTGCTGAGGCTGACCTCAAACTTGAGATCCTCCAGCCTCTTCAGCCTCCCTAGTTGCTGGGATTACGGGCATGTGCCACCATACCAGACAGCAACAGGAAACTTTTAATGGTATTTACATAAGATTGTGTGCCCAATCTTTCCTTCCTCTTTCCCAAGGGTAGATAGTCTTTTCTTTACCTTTCCCCTAGCAATGAGTTTTTACCTGTACCCTGGATGCATTAGATATGCAGCCCCCTGTTGGGTGGCTTAAGGCTTTTTTTCTTATAGACAATGGGTCAAAACAGGGTCTCCTCTGTCTGGAACTGATAGCCACCTAGGCCTTACCAATGAAGGAGATTCTTTCCATTCTCTTGCCCTCCCCTAATTTTTCTCTAAAGATCTGTGGGGAGGAAGCCCACAAGTGGCTATAAATTCCCTTGTATCTGTAACTTCCAATGCGTCTACCTATATACTGGACCTTTGGCAACCCCCTAAGAGAGTTTAGCCAAAGGCTTCTTGTCTGCTTGGCTGGTGCCCAACCTCTCTTCCTGTGACTGTGTTCTGGCACAGGTGAGACAGTACTTGTATTCCTTCTTCTGGAGAACTCTGCTTTTCTTTGGACTTTAGCCTACTTAAGTTTTTATGTCATAAGTATTATAAGCCCTCTGATGAGTTTAAGAAATGTTATGATTTTGTGGTTTATCTAATATTTTATTATAATTAGAGTAGCAGTGATACTCTTCCACTTTCCTCATCCTGGGCAGAAACAAAATCCCCAAATTCAGCAACATTTCAAAGGGAATTTCTTTTTTGCTAATCAATAATAATTTGTAGAAGACACATTTATTCAGATAATGCTTGTTAAACATTTAAATTTATGGGTTTTTTTTCATAGACATTAGTAGGTACCACCATCCACCCCTCTCTCAGATATTTCTTTTCTTTTTTACTTATTTTTTCTTGTAGTTCTAGGAATAAAACCCTGGCCTCATGCTTGCTAACCACTGAGCAAAACTCCCTGCTCCCCCACATTACATTTTTTGAAATCACTATCATACCTAATACTAAAACCAAAAAACAAAACAAACTTAGAACATTTAGCTATAGTTTTGAAATTATTAAGATTAATTATAATTCTGATAGTTATTGGGATTTAGCCATATTTAAAAATACAAAGGCAAAAACTCTATCACTTTATTAAAGAACAAAAATGATTTATTTGCATACATGGTCAGAAATAGCTTCTGCAAAGAATAAGCTTTGAATTTCCTAATTCTTACATATTTAAAGTTATAATCATAGTATGTGAGGTAGGAAGATGGTAAGGTGGCTAGGCATTGAACTCAGTATATAATGCTAAAAAAATTCATAATTCTCGTTTCCCACAAAAACATAAACTGATATTGATTAATTACTACAATTACATCTATTGTTTTTAGTGTTTACACACACACACACACACATTCTGAACAACATAGTCTATGAATAAGAAAACTAAAAATTACTATGACTTTGACAATCCAATACAATCCGTCCTAGCATTTAACCATAAAACATATGATCTAATTTTTTTCTCATTATTGTATAGTATGTTTGACTTTCTAATTATTATTTATCATGATAGTTTTAAACTTTTCAGAGAGAACCTAAAAGAGGAAAGTATTTTTTTAAAAACAAACTATTTCAAACTGGTTACTGTTGCACATGCTTGTAATCCCAGCTAGTTGAGAGGCTGAGGCAGGAAGATCACAAAATCAAGGTCAACCTGGGCAACTTAGTGAGATTCTGTCTCAAAAATTTAAATTAAAATTTAAAAAGGGCTGGGGATGAGCTACTGGGCTACATTCCCAGTAGCTCAGTGGTAGTGGGAAAAAAAAGTGAGCTATTTTAACATACCACTTTATCGAATTTAGTTCTTGTGTTCAACCAAACTGATTTCAAAGTAGTCTCACTTGTACTGAAAATAGCTAACTTGCACAGTTAAAGGGAAAATAATAGAAATGAAAACCACTTTCTCAGAAGTTGCTTTCACTAAAAAATTGTTAGACACATTCATCAGTATATATAATCAGATAAGTGGTATCATGTAGTCAAAAACATACCCTATGAATTCAATACCAAATGAAACGACCTTTTTCCAAAGATGTCATCTGTGAGAATAATCAATTCAATTTGTCTCTTTTATATTAAAATATGAAAGTAATAGCTAAGGAGGGGAAAATTTAAAAAACAAGGATATTGCAGATTTCTTAGCAGCATAGTGTTAGAATCTATGTTCTACCATAGCCTCAATTTTCAATGAATGAACATTTAAAAAAGGTGCTATTTCTAGTAAACTGCTTTGATTTTTTATATTTGCATATTAAGCTACTATACATTTCAAAGTAAAGTACATGATACTTCCCCCTGAAATAATTTGGGGTTCAAGTATTCTTAGAAACATTTATCTCCCAGAAAAGATGTGGTTTTGATTCCCTGGTGATAGGATGAATTTCCTTATCTTCAAGGCCTCTGAGTGTAAGAGATAGGATTGAATTTCTTCAAGGTCACCCCAAGTCCTGAGAGCCTTAGAGGATTATTTTGGCACTCTGGCTTTCTATTCTCTGAAATATTTGGCAAAGTCTCAGAATTTCATTAGAAAAGAAAAAAAAAAACATAAAATTTATGGGAAAAAGTCATAACTGTCTGCATTTGCCAAGGCAATTATATCCATTCAAGAAATATTCAGTCTAGAGATATATATCAACTACAGAGTGAAAGACTTGGCTTCTATTTAAAATACTCTATTTATAACCCATTGGGTTTTTATGTGTCTTAGTTGAGGCTGAAATAGGTCTGCTCTCCTAACTTTTGAATTAGATGCAATATTAAATGCAAAAAAAAATTAAACATATTAAGTCTAACAGTTGTAAACTTTCTCCTACTGGCTAATTTCTAGGTTTCTTTTATTTTTCTTGTGACTTGTTTACCTATTAAATGTCAACTGGACATTACTTAATGGCATTGCTGTAAGTCAACAAAAATGTAAATATTGCCATCCTGTGGTGAAACATTCACATAAAGTGAAACTGAAAACATCGTCACTTTCCTAAAGACAGTAAAATCCTACCAAAGTTACCTTCCTATGAGCTAAATCAGTTGTTTTATTAGGTAAAATGTCCCTCAAGAAAATACAATTCATTTATAACTAAGAAATTCTTTCTTTCTTTTTACCAAGTACTGGGAATTAAACCCAGAACTTTGCTCATAGTTCAGGCGGAACTCTTCTCCTGTCTAAGCCTCCTGAGGAGCTGGGATTATACTGAGTCCAGCCAAAATGTTTTTTAAAAAAATTAAACTAGCCAGGCGTGGCAGCACATGCCTATAATCCCAGAAGTTCGGGAGACTAAGGAAGAGGTTTATTACAAGTTCAAAGTCAGCCTCAACAACTTAGCAAGGCCCTGGAAAACTTAATGAGATCTTGTCTCAAAATAAAAAAAGAGCTGGGGATACAGCTCAGTGGTTGTGTGCTTGGATTCAATCTCCAGTACCAAAAAGAAAAAAGAAAAAAACTAAATGAACTACACTGACAATTAACGGCAATAGCACTCAGTAGAAGGAATATCAAATTAGTCATGTTATTACCTTAAGAATATTTATTTGCTCATATATATAATATACTGCCATGATTAATTTCTAAATCACCACAAGAAATTCTTATAGGCAATTTTTCATATGATTCTAAAATAAAATTTACCACTTATGTATCATGGGTAGGTTAAAAGTGTTCAAGTGTTCTGAAAAGTTGGATTAAGAGAGTAACAAAAAAATGGAAGAGTTAAAGCCTAAATTTCATATGGCATAACCCTCTTTGTTATTGTTGTTGTTGTGCTAGGTTCAACCCAGGGTCTCTCAAACAATAGGCAAGTGCTCTACCACTGACTCTCAGCCCCAGGATAATCCTAATAACTACCTTGGGCACTTCTCTCATTTAGGTCCATAGCTATATTTATAATTATACTGGCATTCAATAATATGCATTCATTCATATATTATAACATTAAATAAAAATTAGCTATAGAAAAAATCACCCCATTACTCATAAAAGCAAGAAAAAATTATTCAATTATTCAAAATATTCCTAACACTTCTTCCTGGATTATAGACAAAAAGTTTTTAAACAAAAGTGATATTAATTTCTACTCCAAATTTCAATGTCGGTTATATAAAATACAAAAGACCAAGAAGCAAGAAGGCAAAAAAAAAAAAAGCACAAAAATCTCACGGAAACATAAAAACAATGTCAAAATGCTTCAGTGCTAATTTGTGGAGTTACACAATTTTGATACTACAATAATACAGAAAACTGCATCCACATGATAATAGCATGTAACATGAGAATCATTTGTTGTTGCTGTTGTTATACTTAGTTGACATCACTACACAACACAAAATGTCCTTTCTACAGCCATGATTCCTGCCTTAAATGTATAATTTAAGACAGACAACTATGATATATAGATTTATGTCTAATTATAAAGACCCTGACATTTAGTTATATAAAAACCAAAAGTTAACATTCAAGGAAAACATTAACTAAGAGTTTTAAAAATCAAATAAAAATAGTGTTTACTGGTAAAAAGAATTAACAAATTTATAGTAAAATACAAGATTCTTCATCCAAACAGACAAAATGAGGGAAAAAATTATCCTAGAAATAAGAGTAAGATATATGTAAAAGAAAAGAACTCTCAGGATATATCTGTTCACTATTAGGACAAGTATCAAATTTATATTATTACCTATTTTAAAAACAATTCTTACCTTGTAGTGAAAGTGTAATATCAGATTTACTTCTCACATGTATTAAACGACTTTTTACTGGCTTGTGTTCAACTTCTTTAACATCCTCATCCTGCTTTTGTTGGTACTAAAGAATTTAAGACATAAAGTCACAATATTATTTTTTTAAATTAAAATCTGAGCAGTTATTCAGGTGTTTATTATAAAAATTTTTAATAATATGCTTGCTTTAAAATTACCTTTTAATCATTTTGTTATTTATTAGCACTTCTAACAAATGAGTGATCAAGTACATTTTTTTCTTTTTTCCTATTCTTGCGGTGCTGGGGACAGAACCCAGGATTTCACACATGCTAGGCAAGTGCTCTGTCCCTTATCTACATACTCAACCTATCAGTACATATTTTTAATGTTTTTATTAGTGCATCATACATAATAGTGGGGTTCACTTTGACATAATCATATAGCATGGAATATAATTTGCTCCATTTCAGTCCCCAGTACTTATTTAATTTTTTTTAAAAAAGAGAAAAAAAAAAACCTTTAAAAGATTTCAATAATATACATGATTTCAATTATTTTAAGCCATTTCTTACAATTTCTATTAGAGAATTTAGAGCTACTTATAAAGCAAACCAGTCTAGATTTATACACACATGATGGAGTTAGAATAAGAACTTAATTTGGCTGTAAGCTCTTCCACATAACCACTTTTGCATAAAATGAAAATTTACATAATGCACTGCAATTTTCAAAGAGCTTTTATATATAGTAACATAATTTAATTCTCAAAGTGTGAGGAGGGATTGTTATCCTCCATTTGCCATTCAAAGAATGTATGCTCCACCATAAGCCCCATCGTCTTTCTTTTTTACCCATACTTAAGCAAATCTGAATTTACAAGAGTCACAAATTTCTTCACAATCAACTTCATAAACTGTGATAACTTTAGCCAATTACTTTCCTTTCCTGTTTTATAGCTTAATTATGAATGAGTTATAAAACAAATAGCAGATATACTTTAATAGAACTTTAAAAAAGACATCCCTGGACACTTATCAATAACTACAACCATAGACTCTGAAACACCTGTCTACATATACTCAAGAGAGAAAGAGAGAGAGAGAGAGAGAGAGAACTCAAAAGCACTGACAGGCACATCTTCATCTAGAGGTAAAAATGAGCAGCTTTAGATTAGAGTAAAAACAACTAGCCTTAACTCTGGTCTTGAAGTTTAGAGTCACTAGTCATGTAGCTTTCTGTCTTGAATGAAATACTACTTTGGTGTGTATTTCTAAGACAGGTACTATCTTAACTCTGGTCTTGAAGTTTAGAGTCACTAGTCATGTAGCTTTCTGTCTTGAATGAAATACTACTTTGGTGTGTATTTCTAAGACAGGTACTATGGCTTGAGCATCCCTAATTCAAAAATTCCAAATCTGAAATACTTCAAAATCCCTAACTCTTTGGCACCAACATGAATGCCTCAAGTGGAAAATTCTATATATCTGAGAGCTCACATGGAAGGTCACAGCCAAAATGTAGGTGCACTAAAAATATTGTATAAAGTTACCTTCAGGCTGTATGTATAAAATGTATATGAAGTATAAATGAATTTTGTGTTTAGACTTGAGTCCCATCCCCAAGATATCTCATTATGCATATGCCATATGCTTCAATCCCAAAAACAGAGACATGAAATCTGAAACACTCTGGTTGTAAGCATCTTGGATATGGGATTCTCAATCTGTAACTATCTTAGACTCTGACTTAGAACCTTCTTGTTGGTTCTTTTCCTTTACCACAGCAAATAAGAGTGGTGTTGTGGAACTGCGCTACCTGTGTTCAAATCTGGCTCAGCCATTTTCTATTTTTGGCTTTGAACAAATTATGTAACTCTTCAATACTTCAATTTCCTCATTCATAACAGGAAGATAACAACTACCTCTCATTACTTTGTTATAAGGATTAAATGAGTTAAAACACATAAAGAATTTATGACAGAATCTGGCTAAGTAAGTACTATAAATAAGTGTGCTGCTGTTAACAGTACTAAAGAAATCTTAGGTAAAGACATTTAATGAAGGAATTTTTTGAGGTCTACTCTTCTGGTAACATTTCATGGTCTTACTGTAAAATAGACCAATAGTTAGAGGCAAGCAATCTTTCTTTTTAAACAGCTTTTTTGAGGTGTAAGTAATAGACAATAAACTGCATATATTTAAAATGAACAACTTACTAAGTTCTAGCATATATGTATATATGTATGTATGTATGTACCCATTCCATGAAACCATCACCACAACCAAGATAATATAATGACCACATTCATCAATCTCAAATTTTCTAATACCCCTTTGTATTTATTCATTCCCATTTGCCCTGTCCACCTCTACTTCTCACCACCCAAGGCAAAAACTGAAATACTTTCTATTACTACAGAGTAGTTTGAATTTTCTAGAATTTTATATAAATAAAATTGTATAACATAATTATTATGGGGGATTGGTTTTTTTAACTCAACATAATTTTTGCAAGCATCAACCACAGAGCCACCTATGATGGCACACACCGTTAATCCCAGGGACTCAGGAGACTGAGGCAGGAGGATTACAAGTTCAAAGCCAGTCTCAGCAACTCAGCAAAGCCCTAAGTAACTTAGTAGGAAGCCGTCTCAAAATTAAAAATTTTTAAAAGGACTGGGGATGGGGTGCAGTGGTTAAGCACCCCTGGGTTTCCCAGTTTAACACCAATGTCTATCAAATGCTAATGGATAAATTGTGTTATATTCTGTACAATGTTATAGTCAGCAAGAAAATAAAAATAAAATGAACTATTGATATATAAAATAATGCAGTGATTCTTTTTGGGTGTGGGTACTGGGGATTGAACCTAGGGGTGCTTTACCTCTAAGCTATATTCCTAGAACTTTTTAATTTATTTTTTGAGACAGTATCCTACTAAATTGCTAACGGTCTCACTAATTTGCTAAAGCTGGCTTAGAACTTTCTATTCTTCTGTCTCAGCCTCCTGAGTAGCTGGGATTACTGGTATGTACAACCATGCCTGGTTCACATGATAGTCTTTTAAGTGTTAGATTTCTATTGAGTGTGTACAGTGGTATCTCATTGTGGTTTGCATTTTCCTAATTACTAACAATATTGAGAATCTTTTTTTTTTTTGTATCAAGGATTGAACCCAGGGGCTCTTAACCACTGAGCTACAACCCAGTCTTTTAAAATATTTTCTTTAGAGACAGGGTTTCACTGAGTTGCTTAGGACTTTGCTAAGTTGCTGAGGCTGGCTTTGAACTGGCAATCCTCCTGTCTCAGCCGCCCAAGCCACTGGGATTACAAGCATACACCACCACACTCAGTTTGAGAATCTTTTTATGTGCTTATTTGCCATTTATCTATCTTCTTTAGATAAAGTATCTGTCCAAATCTTGTCTATTTTTTAGTTGAATTGTTTGTTTTCTTAATATTCAGTTCTGTGAGTTCCTTATACATTGAGTTTCTTATATACTCTTATATAAATCTTTTAGAAGATAAATGCTCTGCAAATACTTCCTCTCCTTCTGTGGTCTGTCTTTTCAGTCTCCTAATACTGTGTTTTGAGGAGCAGAAGTTCTTAATTTTGATAAGACCAATTTTTTAATTTGCTTTTTCATGGATAGTGCTTTGGGTACATATCTATTTTTTCCTTAATAATGATCACAAAATTTTTCCTTTATACATAAGTTATTAACAGACATTTATTCATAATTAACAAGTTTTTCCTGATCCTTGCTTGGTCACATGTAAGCAATACTGAACCCTATATAATGGTATGTTCTATAAATAATCTATTTTTGAAATTTTCTTCCTTAACACAATGAAATACTGCTCAAATAACATGCAATGAATATTTGCTGATACAAATCAATCCACAATAAGAAATAAACTGCCAATACATGAATTCAAAACTGTATTTAATAACATGAGCTTTTATGGATTACTGTCTTAGAGAAGGTAACCTTTTTTTTCAGTACACACAATTTCAAGGAACATTGGCTTCGATTATTATGAAATTTCATATTTTTTCATGAAATATATTTTGCAAATTTTCATGAAATAAACATCTATAGAGTACCCACTATGTACAAATTACTGAACTAGGTATGGAGATACAGGAATGTGAGTGATAATAGCTACTTAACTAGATGTCACATATCTATATCTATTATTTTTAATCTTTAACTTAAAGATAAGAAAATTTAGACTTAGAACAGGCTAAGTAATGTGTTCAAGGGCACAGCTAGATTTTGGCTGAGCTAAGATTTATATGCAGGCTTGAGTTAGCAAATAAGAGAGGCATGATTTGAACCCAACTGACTACAGAGATTGTTTTTGACAGTATGCAAAGATAATATTGTCACAATTCTCATTTTAAATAAAAAAATATTCTTAATTTGGTACCTGAGAAAAATCTTCAGCTGCCTCCTGTAAATTAACATCATTTTTTTGTGTTGTCAAAAGTGTTGTGGGAAGGACGAGGTTAGTATTTGGCTGCAACTCCAGCTCTCCCAAACTCATTGGACCATGACTAGCACATGAATCTTCATAAATACCACCTATTACCAAACATGTAAAACAAAAATTAAAAGTCAAATTTATCTTAGAAAAAGAACAAGTGATTGACTAAAACTACCAATATTTCTTACCTACTGAATTAGAAATAGCAGTGTACTTCAACCAAAACCACCTGGTTATCAAGAGTAAAACCAAAACTCAAAGACAATGCAAAAAATACCTGTGTTCAAACAAATGCATGGAATATTCTAAGTAAGGTTCCAATTAATAAGTCACCCATGCAGTTCCTCCTACTCCTCTCCTCACATACCAATTTCTAATATTCCTTCTTACCTTTCTATCACTAAGAGTTAATATAGTATTTTCTATCTAAAATGTAATCTTAAAGCAAAGGGCAATACCCCTTTTTTCAGTAAATGTTAATCTACTAACATACAAAAGTGACACAAAAGTAATAGTTTTTCTATCTGCCTACAGCTTGATAGATGTTCCTTCTCCTCCATTTTAATAAATTTTATAGAAATTTTGTTTTCAAATTCTGAAAATGATTTTTCTCCATGTGCTTGAAAGACAAAAGGCAATTTCTTGTCTAGAAAAAGCTTATATTTTTCTACAAATGATCAAGCTCCTTTTTCTCATCTAAATAGCGTCTCAATCAAAATGATAAAAAGAAGAAAATAAAGAGCAGAGTCTGATAATAATATCATTATAAACTTGTATTGCACTTTATACTCCAAGCACTTTCATATACATTATTTCATTTAATTTGAACTTCACAATCATTCTGTAAGATAGGCAGGCCAGAGACTGTCTTTCACTGATAAAGCTGTCTTTCACTGATAAAACTAAAGTTTATTGAAGTCTAAAACTCAGAAAGCTAGCAAGAGGCACAGAGGAATTAAAACCTACATCTTCCAACTTCTAATCACTGCTCTTTATTTCATGTTCTTCCTACAATATTTCTAAGAAACTTTCATTTTTTCTAATTAATAGCCACCTTTTAAATACTGCAATGTTTAATATACCTCATTTTTTTTAAAGAGAGAGACAGAGAGAGAGAGAGAGAGAGAGAGATTTTTTTTTAATATTTACGTTTTTTAGTTTTTTGGCGGACACAACATCTTTGTTTGTATGTGGTGCTGAGGATCGAACCCGGGCTGCACGCATGCCAGGCGAGCGTGCTACCGCTTGAGCCACATCCCCAGCCCTAATATACCTCATTTTAACCGACAGAAATAGACTTGAAAAGTCACACATAAACTAAATTGTTTTAAATGAAATAATACATTAAAGACACAATAAATATTTTCCACTTAAAGACAAATTGGAATTACACAAGTGACAATTTCCTAAGTATAGAAAATAATCATACTCTGATCTTTTATGTTAATCAAGATTTTAAAGGAGAATTTGAGTAAATGTAAAATGTGTCTGTTGAGTTTTATAGTATCAATTCATACAAAACAACTCATGAAAACTATGACCTCATTTTATTCTCTAGTATAAGATTAATTTAAATAATGATAATAATACCATAACTTAGAATAACCAATGTTCCTGGCCTTATATTTGCTTCTTTACATTCTGACACATCTTTTTCTATTCCTATGTCACTTGTCTAACATTTTCCTATGATTGTCAAAGAAACTGAGAAGAATTAGTACATATAATGTTGAAGGAGAAGACATTAAAAACTTATTTGCTGACAATATGGCATATACCTAGAAACTCTAGTGAGGAAAAAGAACTCTATTAAAATTCATAAAAGAACTTGGTAACATAACCGGTACTAGGTAAACATCCAAAAATGATTAGTTTTTATTTTTATTATACCGGTAAGTATTTAGAAATTGAAAAAAAAAATTCCTTACTATAGAACAAAAACTATAAAATAATTATTAAATTATAAAACAACCAAGAATAAAATATAATTACAAAATATTTAAATTATAAAAAAATAAAGGCTAAAATTTTAAAAGGCACAGAATCCATATGAGGAAAATTTATGAAATCTTATTGAAGGGCAAAATCTATTATTGAAAAATTTAAAATAAATCTCAGAAAATTAGAAAAAGATCTGAACAAATAGTAAGATATACTAAATTGTCAGTACTTCTAAAACATAAGTTAGTTTAATTCCAAATTTGGGTAATTTTTGGCTGGATAAAATCCTTTTGAATTTACATGGAAAAATAAGTATCTGGAAATTGTCAAGAAAGGTATGAAAATGAAAAAAAAAAAAAAAATGGAAGACCTGCCTTATCAGATAATAAAATATACCATAAAGTCAAAAGAGTTTAATCAATGGTTTAGATCATAAATAATCTTGAATTCTTACAGTAAATAATCCAGAAAAATACCCTTACATTTATGAGAATTTAATATGCAAACTGATATTTCAATTCAGTTAGAAAAAGATAGCTCAAATAATTGATGCTGATACAAATGGCTATTTATCTGAAAAAAAAAATCAAACTAGATTTTTCTTTCTTTCTTTATTTTTTTAATACCAGGAATTGAACCCAGGGGCTCTTAATCACTGAGCTACATCCCCAGACAAGGTCTCACTAAGCTGCTTAGGCCCTTGTTAAGTTGCTGAGGCTGGCTCTGAACTTACGATCCTCCTGCCTCAGCCTCCTGAGCCTCTGAGATTACAGGTGTGTGCCACTGTGCCCAGCTCCAATTGGATTTCTATCTTATAACATTTACAAAACAAATTCCAGATAAACTTTAACATAAATATATACTTAATAATTAAATACTGCACATACAAAAACCTAAAAAACTGCAGGTATAAGCTTGTGTTAGCAGAAACCTAACTAAACTATAAAAACAAAGTATAGGCTGGCATCCCTAATCCAGAATATCTGAAATCTAAAGTGCTCCAAAATCTCATACTTCTTAAGCACCAACATGACACAACAAATGGAATTTCTACACCTGACCTCATGTGACAGGTTTCAGTCAAAATGAAAATGCTTCTAAGGTCAGGCAAGGCCCAGGAGAATTACAAATTCAAGGTTAGGAGGCTGAGCAGGAGGACTGCAAGTTTAGGACCATCCTGGGCAATTTAGCAAGATCCTGTCTCAAAATAAAATGAAAAGGGCTAGGGGTGAAGCTAGCATGCATGAAGCTCTGGGTTCCATCCCCAACACCATGGGGAAAAGAAATGAAAAAAAAAATGCACTGAAAATATTGCACAAAATTATCTTCAGGCTATGTATATGAGGTGTGTATGAAGTATAAATTGTGTATTTAGACTGGGTCCTATCCTCAAGATATCTCATTATATAAATGCAAGTATTCTGAAATTTGGAAAAAAATCTGAAATCCAAAACACTTCTGATCTCAAGCATTTAAGGTAAGGGATATTTGAACTGCATAAAAGATAGACATATCAGTTGTATAAAAAATTTTATTATATGGCAAAAAAAATCATAAACAATGTCAATGTACAAAATATAAACCTGGAAAAAGATGTCTGTAATACAGATAATAGAAACAGATTTAAAAGTTACTAGGAAAATTTAGAACTTAACAAATGGGAAAAGAACTTAATAAGAGTAAATAAGGGGTTGTGGCTTATGGTAGATCGCTTGCCCAGCATGTATGAGGCACTAGGTTAGATCCTCAGCACCACATAAAAAAATAAATAAATAAAGGTATTGTGTCCATCTACAACTAAAAAATGCTTTAATAAAAAAAAAAAGATGGGCTGGGGATGTGGCTCAAGCAGTAGTGCACTTGCCTGACATGCGTGGGGCGCTGGGTTTGATCCTCAGCACCACATAAAAATAAAATAAAGATGTTGTGTCCACCAAAATCTAAAAATTAAATATTAAAAAACTCTCTCTCTCTCTTTAAAAAAAAAAAAAAAGAGTAAATACAAATGACTCGCCAGTAGTCAGATACATGTTTTTATCTGTCAAATGACAAAAGTTACAAACACAATTTCAGGAGGGAATTCAGGGAAAAGGCTCTAATAAATTGCCTATAAAAGTAAATTGGCTTTAACTTTTAAGAAAGCAACTTGGCATTATTTGTTTTTAACTTTTTAAAAACTTTTCTTTAGTTTTAGATAGACACAATACCTTCATTTATTTTTATGTGGTGCTGAAGATTGAACCCAGTGCCCCATACACGTAATTCTTGTGCTCTACCACTGAGCTACAACCCTAGCCCCTATTTTTAAATTAAAACTATATTTGCCCTTGGATCCAGTAATTACTTTTGGAAGCTATTCTATCAGTATAAAATGCAACAACTTACTAGATAAATGTTTGTGGACATTTATTCTAGAATTGTTAATAGCAGAGGAAAATAGTAATAAAGTAAATATTAATCAACAGAGAAATACTAAATAAATTACTTGAAATCTACATCCTGGAATTTTATATAATCATCGAGTTTAATTATAACAACTGACCTGGAGTAATCTATAGGGTTTCCTGGGGTAAACAAAATGCAGGCAAGTGAAAAATACTGGCTATATGTATTGTTTGTGTGTTTGTAGGTGCATGTGCACATATGTGCATACATAATTATGTGTGTAAGGAAAAAACCAGCAAAGTTACATACCAGATCTTAACATGGATCACTTAGGATAAGGCAGAACATGAGAAAGTTTGAGAAAATTGTGGGGAGAGGGTATGGAGGGCACCCAAAAAGTACATAATACCTTTCAAATTATATAACACCTATAAATTAACAGATATTTACTATGTACCATGTACTCTGTACCTTGCTAGATGACAGGGATACAACAGTAAACAAGATAGTTACTATCTTTATGTGAGGTTACAAACAGCATAAAAGTGACACTAGCCAACGTTAGAGGATTACTCAGAGTACCTATGACAGGTATCTAAACCAGGAATAAGGAGTCAGGAAAGAATTCCATGACAGCATAACAATGCTGAATTTGCTGTGTCACTTCTAAAAAGTATGCTCATTAAGTGTGGATGACTTTGCAGTGTTTTGAGCAACTGATAAAAAAATTTAAAAAAAAAAAGTGTGGATGACTTTTCATATGATGCAAGTCAGACCTTTGTAAGAGTGATACTTAAAGTATTACTTCATTGAAGTCAACATAATGTACAATAATTTGAAATCCCCACTTTCCTAAGGACCTTATTATACTGAGAAACGAACCAATACAGACTTTCAGAAAACACTAAACTCAGAAAACTAAGTTCACCTGAAATTACCAGTGCTCGCAACAGTTTTTTGCCTGGTTTGTCTAATAGATTATTTCACTAGTATAAAACCTGAAGGCACTTCAAATCCAACATGTATAAAACCCCACCATCCAATTTCACCCTGAGTCTGTCCCTCCTCCATGTTTCCACTCTTAAGATGAATGGGATGACCACCGAGTCAAGCATTTTGGTCTGAAACTTGGGTATTTCTTAAACATTCCATATCTTTTGCACCTTTCAAATTCAAATTAAGCTTTTTCCATCCTCCTTACTTATCTCTCAAATCTCCCTTTTCATATAACCTCACTGCTGAATAATGTCTCCCCAGGCTTATATTAACAGTCATTTAATCAGGCTCCTTGTCTCCAGTCTTAACCCTTCCAAATCCAACCTTCACACTGCACCTCTGATGATCTTGCTAAATAAAAGGCCATAATAAAATTATGTCATTCATTTACTTATAATTCTGTCCATTTGAAATTCTAAAATGCCAAACTCTAAGCCACTTTGCTACACTGCCATATATATGTGTGTGTATAAGCATATATATGTATATGCTCAATCATGCCACATTACCTAGTATTTTCCCAATTAAATCAAACAAATATTACAAATATATCTACTATTAAACATAAACTGTACTTATAGGTAATCTTCTGAGTGCTACCAGAGATATAAAGGACTAGATGGGCTACATTGTCATGGATTTTGTTCTATAATAATTTAACAGGAACCTAGCTCTTCTCAAGTACTCAGCAGCTCTAAATTGATCTGCGAGAGCCATCTAGTGTCAATCCTGTTTAATTGCAATCTGCACAATTACAATATAAATAAAACCACATTTTATGCTATTTGAAATAAACTTATTTGAAAGAATATAAAGCATCTTATTCCATCTTCTTTTCTCAGCGCGCTCTCTCTTTCCTTGCATATGCACAAAATGAGAACTAATGCCAATTTTTACATTTATTCCCATGGAAAATTCAGTCTTAACTTTCAATTCTGAATAATATAAGATGTTCACTCAATATAAAACTAACACTATAAATTCTCTATACCTGTGTTTTGTTTTTTTTTTTTTTTGTATTGGTTGTTCAAAACATTACAAAGCTCTTGACATAGCATATTTCATACATTAAATTCAAGTTGGTTATGAACTCCCAATTTTACCCCAAATACAGATTGCAGAATCACATCGGTTACACATCCACATTTTTACATAATGCCCTATTAGTAACTGTTGTATTCTGCTACCTTTCCTATCCTCTACTATCCCCCCTCCCCTCCCCTCCCATCTTCTCTCTCTACCCCATCTACTGTAATTCATTTCTCTCCTTGTTTATTTTCCCATTCCCCTCACAACCTCTTATATGTAATTTTTATACCTGTGTTTTTATAACCTCAGCCATTTCCTTTTCTGATTTCTGGAAAATCTGCATAGCAAAAGACATTTCTTTTTGCTTATGAGAATGCAGCAATAGGCATAGAAAAAAAAGTAATAAGAATATAGTCAAGCCTCATTTGCAAATTTACTCACTAAAATTTATTTGTATCTCCAAGATTAATATTCATAGTACCTATGGTGGTCATTTATGGACATGTGCAGGAGGAAAATCACACAGCACGCACTCACTCAGATGAAAGTGAACAGTGAACAGAGATTTTGCATTCTTATTTCATCTTTTATACTATAAACAAGTGACTTTGTGTGTGTGTGTGTGTGTGTGTACAATTTTTCTGCTTAAAATGGTCGCCTGGCCATTTTAAAAATACTAAAATACTGTCTAGTGTTCCTCAGCATAAAAAGGCTCTGATCCGCCTTGTGGAAAAAATACATGTGCTAGATAAGCATGCTTCGAGCATGAGTTATAATGCTGTTGGTTGTGAGTTCGATATTAGTCAATCAGCAATATATATTAGAACTGGGAATATAATTCAGTGGTAAAGTGCTTGCCTAGTATCAGGAGTATTTTTTTGTAGTACTGGGTTCAATACCCAGTACTACAGAAAAAAAAAAAAAGACACCCCTCTATATATTTAAGTACATATGTATATACACACACACACACACACACACATACATTAAATAAGATGGCTTCATAGAGAAACCAGGTTATATACTGATCAACTGACAATGTTGTGGTGAGAGGTTTACAGGAATCTAAGCCTAAATTTCTCCTAGGAGAATATTCACTATCTGATAGTAATGTTCGTGGCTACTATAGAATATAACTACCACAGATAATGAGAATTAACTCTCTATGCTAGTGATCAATATTCTATTTTAATATATCATGAGCTTTGTAAAGTTTTGAACAACCAATAAAAAAAATATTCTATTTTAGCCTTATTTCCAAAGTGTTAAAGCTGATCCTGTGTACACTGCCTCCTGATCTGAAAATCGCAGTTAATTTTTGCAGTATTATCTAATTGAACATGTCCTAAGTGATATCTATTATGTCAGTTTTGATGGGCTAGTTATATTTTTCTAGTATATATTAAAATAAATGCATCATTTAAATGCACATATATTACCAAAATTAACTCATGTGCCACCCAACAGTGCATGTACCAACACTGATACATGAATCACATTTGGGAAAACCTTGCTCTATATCCCATAGAAAAGTTACTACCTTTAACAAAAAAAATTTTTCAAGGCTTCATCTGAAAATAATTATACTTTTCTCAATTCAGATTTTTGGAACAGTTCTATAGATTATAATACAAAACAGAATATAGCATTCAGCATGGAAAGAGTTCAAAGAAAATTGAATAGGATAGAAACTGAATATTTTATTAGATGATCCAACAAGAAACAACATTTTGCTATATACCTGAAACTGTGTCAAATTGCTGAAAAAATGGCTTTGGATCACATGGCTGATCCACAGACTCTGCGTTAGCAACAGGCTGTTGCATAAACAGAGACTGTCCCTTCAGGACCTTTTCTGCTGCTGCTGTCAGCTTGGGCCTTTGTCCTTCACTGAGTTCACCGACACTGTGTTCCAAGTCCTTCAAAAGAAACAACTGTTAAAACCATAATATTAAAATCAAATCAAAACAGCAAATATTTGATAAATATCATGATCCATACTACTCACTTGCTTGGAAGGTACATTAGAAAATGATTTCTATGCCACATATACATTACATGGAAAATAAATTTTAAAAGGTAGTTTAGTAAAACATACAGTAGTAGGCTTTGTTTTGAATACCTTATTTTATACACACACACACACACACACACATATATATTAGTTGTAGATGGACACAATACCTTTATTTTATTTGTTTTTCATTTTTATGTGGTGCTGGGGATCAAACCCAGTGCCTCATGCATGCTAGGCAAGCATTCTACCACTGGCAAAAACCTCAGCTCCTGAATACCTTATTTTTTCTAAATATATATTTTAGTTGTAGTTGGACATAATATCTTTATTTTATTTATTTTTATGTGGGTGCTGAGAACTGAACCCAGCGCCTCACACATGCTAGGCAAGTGCTCTACGGCTCAGCCATGACCCCAGCCCTGAATACCTTGTTTTATAAGGTTAATCATTATGTTTTTCAACTTATAATTAAATAGCAATAAAATATAAGAAAAATTCTATTATAATTTAAAACAATAAGTACTGCCACACATTGTACATTGTTCATACAACTTAACATTTGAACCATAGAAAATCTCTCTCTCATTCTTCATAAAACAGAATTCTCTAAAGCTGTTAGTGTGAACTTTATAATTAAACAACTAATGAGGAAAACAATATCTTTTAAGTAGTATATAGATTATCTATATATAAATAATTATGGGTTTTGTAAGTACACAGATTTAAGACTATTTAAACCATATTTAATAAAGTTCTTTTCCCTATGAAAGTACGAAAATAAAAAAAGTACAAATGTGAAGCCAGTTGTGGTGGCACACACCTGTAATCCTAGTGACTCAGGAGGCTGAGGCAAGAAAATTGCAAGTTCAAACCCAGTCTCAGTCACTTAGTGAAGCCCTAAGCAACTTAGTGAGACCCTGTCACTAATAAAATATGAAAAAGGAAGGGCTGGGGACGTGGCTTGGTGGTTAAGCAAGTTCAATCCCTGGTACCCAAAAACAAACAAATAAAAAAAGTTTACTTCATATATATGACATATATATTTACTTCATATATATGACACGCTTGTCATATATATGAAGTAAATGGAAAGCTAAAAAAGATTGATGTATTTTTTCCGTATTAAAAGTTATATATCATATTCTGTATTAAAAATTAATACACTAGTACATTTTGTAACTTACAGATAATCTAATTAATTTAATAATCAAGAATAGAATAGGAATTCCAGCATCAAAATGCTCCCAGGATTCTCTTTCTTGCTTTTTTTTTTTTTTTTTTGGTGTGTATGTGTGGTGCTAAGAATGAAACCCAGGGTCTCACCCAAGCTAGGCAAATGGCAAGCACTCTACTACTGAACTATATCCCCAAATGCATGTTTCTTATTTTAAAGGGGCTTAATTTCAACCAACATCTTTGATGATTCTATTGACTATGAAATAAAATCTAAACCTATAAATTTAACATTCAGATTCTCTACAATTTTCCGAAATTTTATTCAAAACATCTGTATATCCTCCATTCCCTTAACCTGACTCATCTTTAGGAATACTAAGTGCCTCAACATCCTTTAAGTTGAAAAAATATTAATTTGTGAGGAATATATCCCTTGGAGACTCTTGGGCAATATTTGGAATAATGGCAGACATTTTCTTCAGAAACTAATTAGAAATATTTCACAGTAGCCATGTTACTGCTTAAAGGTAAAGGTCATGTACCATTCATCTTTATCTATTTCAAGGCTATGTGTGGCATATAGTAGATGCTCAGTAAAGGTCACAGAATGAAGGAGTGATACATAAATCATTTTAAAGAGCTTCAGTTTTTTTTAACTACAGAACAAAAGGAGTAGAAAAGATGTTCTAAATTCTCTCCAGTTATAAAACCCTACGTTCTATGACTTTAGGTTAAAGTTCCTATAACACTAACTTTTGAATAACTGAAATATTAACATGCCTTAATTAAAAGTGGGAATATTTTTATTTTTTCCCGATTTGTAGCTAACCAAGAAATAATTAAGATTAGATAATACCTCTGAGTGATAGACTGATTGCTGTGAAACTAATAATTCTTGATTTTGTTTAGTAAGGAGAGAAAAAATTGCATCTGCATGAAGCTTTTTATGGGGCATTCTAATCACCTGTCCTTCACTGGGAGGATCATCTTCCTGAAAGAAACATAAACACAATTAACACATCAAAAAACTTTATCAAACTGCATTTTTCTCAATTATGAATAACAAAAACTTAGCTATCAAATTACATCAATACTTTTTGGAAAAGAAGATAAACTCTTTATTTTCATTTAATTCTTTTTTAAAAAATATTTTTTGGGGGCTAGGTTGTGGCTCTGTGGTACAGCACTGCCTAGTATGTGTAAAGGCACTGGGTTCGATTCTCAGCACCACATATAAACAAATAAAGATCCATCAATAACTAATAAAAATATTTTTTAAAATAGATGGACACAATACCTTTATTTTATTAATTTATTTTTATGTGGTACTGAGATTTGAACCCAATGCCTCACAGTGCTAGGCAAGCACTCTACTATTGAGCCACAACCCCAGCCCCTCATTTAATTCTTATTTCCACCTGACTACAATAAAACACGTTTGCTTCAAACAAACAACACTATAATTTGGTAACAAACTGGAGACTTATTGTAAAAACATGAAAATCGGACCTCTGTGTCAAAACCACAAGGATTCACAATGTCTTATATATGTCATTAGGGTTTGGGCTCACGTGGTTTCCTGCTTCACCTTTATTCAGTGCACAAAGCAATGCCCCACTGAGGCAATGAGGACAAAGCACTGGAGTAATGCTGCAACTTAGACCTAAGGCAAAAATGGAAAATTGCAGAACATGCAACAGAATTCAGAGACCTTCAATGTCCTTTTGCCTTTGTGCCGACATCTGCCTCAGCTAGAGAGCAGGTATTGAAACCCGCACTGACATCCTGCCTTTGATACTTCACTGTACTTCAAAGTAGACCTGTTCCCAAATGAGGGATAGGTGGGCCTCAGATTCAGACAAACTGGATTCCCTCATAAATACAGGTATAAATCTCTGATTTTACATTCATTAAAAGTCATTTATTTAGTTCCTTTTAGTGAAATGAAGTTAATTCTGGATTATAAATGCATATCTTCCAGTTTTATATGGATAAATGTCTAATGGTACATGACTTCAAATTATTCTGGATTTTTCCAGATTATTCCTTTGCATTTGATTTTATTATGAATTTGTAGCATATCATTTCGGTATAGTAAAAATATCAAAATTAGAAATCAGTTTCAAATGTAGAAGAAGAAAGAAGTTACAATTTAGTCCTGGTTCAGTTAACTATTTACTTTATAGAACTTTAAATATACATTGGCTAAGAATGGATAAAAATGCTATAATGGCATATTAGTAGGCCAGATAAAGCTCCTCAGAAAATAAAGATATCTCATTTATGCCTTCTTCCTGTATTGTTTTATAAAAGTGATTACACTGTCTCTACAATGGACTCAATTACTTGTATTAAATAGTCACTCCTAGCTGGGTGCAGGGGCACACACCTGTAATCTCAGCAACTCAAGAAGCTGAGGAAGGAGGACTCAAAAGTTTGAGGCCAGGGGCTAGGGTTGTAGATCAGTGGTAGAGTGCCTGCCTCACACATGTGAGGCACGGGGTTCTATTCTCAGCACCACATAAAAATAAATAAATAAAATAAAGATATTGTGTCTATCTACAACTAAAAAAAAAAAAAAAAAGTTTAAGGTCAGACTCAGAAACATAGTGAGGTCATTTCTCAAAATCAAAAATTTTAAAGAAAGGGGCTGGGGTTGTGGCTCAAGTGGTGGTGCGCTCGCCTGGCATGCGTGGGGCACTGGGTTCAATTCTCAGCACCACATAAAAATAAAATAAAGATATTGTATCCACCTAAAACTAAAAAATAAACATTAGAAAAATAAAAATAAAAATAAAGGCTGGGGAAGTTGCTCAGTGCGTAGAGCACCCTTGGGTTCAATCCCCAGAACTGCCTACCCCAATCATTCCTAAAAAAATAATTTTCAAATAAAATCCTTTTTTTGTGTGTGATGCTGGGGATTGAACACAGGGCCTTGTGCTTGCAAGGCACGCAGTCTACCAACTGAGATATACCCCCAGATCTCAAATAAAATCTTATCAAAAATTTTCTTAATTATTTCCTTACTCCTTTGTGAAATTATATCTTGTAAACACATCAGTAATAATAACAATGCTTAGCAAAAAATATGGTAAATATAATTACCTTTCTTTGCTTAGGTGATTTGAAAATACATAAAAAGTAATTATTTCCATTTTTAACAGTTTCTTCAAAAAGAAAATTTCCAATATTATTTCGTATTTATATATTTTATTTATGTAAAAATATATAAATAATCCCTTTACCAAGGCATTGTTTAAATAGACTACAACACTTTAAAAAATGACATAGGGACTGGGCATGGTGGTGCATGCCTATAATCCCAGCAGCTTGGGAGGCTAAGGCGGGAGGATTTCGGGTTCAAAGTCAGCCTCAGCAAAATCAACTAAGCAACTCAGTGAGACTCTGTCTCTAAATAAAATACAAAATAGGGCTGGGGATGTGGCTCAGTGATCAAATGCCCCTAAGTTCTATCCCCAGTACCCCTTCCCCCCAAAAAGACATAGACCTGTGTGTGTGTGTGTGTGTGTGTGTGTGTACACTATCACTGTTTTTTGTTGTTGTTGTTTTGGGTTTTTTTGGTACCAGGGACTGAACTCAGGGGCCCTTGACCACAGAGCCACATCCCAGCCCTATTTTTTTAGTTTAGAGACAGGGTCTCACTGAGTTGCTTAGTGCCTCACAGTTGCTGAAGCTGGCTTTGAGCTTGCAATTCTGTCTCAGCCTCTCAAGCCACTGGGATTACAGGCGTGCACCACCACGCCCAGCATGTATTATGACATTTTAAAATGTTAATTTTTCCTTTTTTAGAGCTAGATAATGACTAGGAAGAATTAGTATCCCTAGATCCTATTTTAGTTTTTCTTTTTGTGTCATTAAATTTACATATTTATCAGCACAAATAATTATAATCACGATTAAGGAAAAAACAAATGTATTATAAGAGAGTTGATTGAAATAGGTAAGATTTTTCAGAAAATATTATAAATATTGTAAAGACAACACATCTAGGTGACACTTTGCATTGAGATAGATTTTATTACCTAATTATATTAACTGTATATTTTTTAACTACTGGGGCCACAGAGGTTAAAAACAACTTTTCATTCTCACAATTATGATAATGTTACATAATAAAATGTACAAAAACCCTACATTCCTTCATGGATAAGATTTTACTAAATTGTGTGCCTATAACTAAAATAATTGAGAAAAAATCTAATCAGTTGCAACAAGTTCATCAAGATATTCTTCCTGTCAGAATTCAATGTTATAAACATTCCTTACCATTTCAAGAGCATCTTGCAAAGTGCTAGATAAGCTATCATTTAGGTGTGTCAGATATATTTCTCCAGCTCCTAAAACTAGAAATTAAGATGTAACAGATTAGAAAAAAGAAGACATGAACATCAGTTTTTTAAACAATGCAATTTAAAACAAAGATAAGATTGCTGTTTCACCTGCAAGTTTGTCAGAAATTTAACAGAACTGTTAAGTAGCACTACAGATATGAAATTGAGAAATAGACTCTCCTATATATTAGTATAATTAAAAGCTGATTAAAATTAAAGTAGATTAATTTTTCCAGAGATGAATCTTTTTGTGTTGTTGATGTATTACTATTTTAAAGGTATCTACCCTGACTCAGCAATTCCATTTCTAGTCATGTAATCTATGGAAATTATTACATTAGTACACAAAGAAACACAAACACACACATTAAGGATGGTCATTAAAGAGTTGTGCACAGTCTGGAAACATTGAAAACAATTTATTACTAAGACACAATTTAAATAGACTGAACAACCACTTAAAAAACTGACAGAGACCTATGTGTGTTGATACTGTAAGATGCCTACAATGTATCATTATTAAGTTAAAAATTCAGGTTTCAGAATAATATGCATAGTTTCATCCCATTTTAAAGGTAAATGCACATACACATGTATGTATTTAGGTGTCTATATATGTACAAACAAAAGTATACTGGAAGGATATTAGTTCTAGACAGTAAGATTATAAGGAAGTTTTATTTTCTAAAATTAAAATCCAAAAGTTACTTATATAGAGAACCTATTCTTTCTAGTATACTATGCTAAATATTGAAAATTAAGTAAAAACACTTTAAAAAGCAAAGTTTTACTAAGGGACTTATCACAATCTACCAATGAAATCATTTAATACAGGAACTTACTCTTGGGAGCCAATTTTTGACCACAGCTAAATAAAACCTCTCCTTCAGAGATAGGTCTATCTAAAGTTTCTGTTTCAGTGACAGTAATGCTCAAAGTGCTCTCCAGTGTTGAGGAACCAGAACTTGGCATCTGTAAGGGAGAAGGAGCCTTGGTGCCTGCAGGAAATGGTGTAAGGGGAACTGGCTCTGGAGGCGCAGGCTGAGCAGGGAAATCCACACTCTCAGGTTCTTCATCTTTAGCTACAGACATTACACTAAGAAGATAAGGACATATTTTGAATTTATTAGGTCACTGAAGGCCTATATTCATTTTTATATAAAAAACAGATTCAAAGGTGCTGTGTCTCCTTTAGCATAGTATTTCTATAAACTATACTTTTATAATTAATAAGATTCATTCTTCTAAAATTGTTTTTATGCTTTAGTCATTGGCCATCTTGAAACCCCTTCTAGTCAAAAAACAAATCTACATGGGATAAATAACAACATAAGTTAAGTGATCATAGTAAATGATGGTCCATACTAGAGAGAAATCATTTTCTATTTTATTATGAGACAGATACTTTTATTAAAGTCTGTTTCCAACATTTTAAAAAAGAGGTGAAGATATAAGTAAATTGATAATTTGAAAAACTTAAAACTTATAAAACATCTTCCAAGTATAACGTGGTTTGTAAAGCTCTTCATCACCTCTATGTTTCACTGGGTCATACAAGTGAAACGTAAGTGGGAGTATACAGTTACTAAGAATGAATCCAGTCAGCCCTCCATATCCACAGGTTCCATGTCCAGGAGTCACCCAACCACAGACTGAAAATATTTTTTCAAAATATTTGAGTCTGTACTTTTTTGTGTGTGTCATTATTCCCTAAACAATACATTATAACAACATGGTACAAAGCATTTTCAATGAATTAGGTAATAATCTAGAGATGATGTAAAATGTATGTAGATTATACGTAAATACCTTGCTATTTCATATAAGGGACTTGAATATGTGTGAATTTTGGCATGAGGAGACGGGACCTAGAAATAGTCCCCAGTCCCCCTCCAATACAGAGGGATGACTATAAATTCTTACTTACATAGCCCTTGGGTGAACAAATCCTTCTAATAGAGAGTTAGGATTCTCCTCATCCAGTGGCAGGTCTCCATCCCCCCATGGCTTGGGAAGCTCTGGGCTTGATATCTTCAATTTATCAATGGAAATCTCTGACAAAGTTGGGGTAAGAGCAGCTGCAGCTGCTGGAGGAGGCGAAGGAGCAGGGGTAATTGCTGGAGTATTCACAAGTGTCATGGCAGGCATATCATGTCCTAAAGAGTTTTTTTTTAAAAAAAAAAAAAAAAGAAAGAAAGAAAGAAAGAAAAAGTTAAAAGTCAGTCAACAACTCCCATAAGACAATACGTTGCTTCAAATACCTTAACATTTTGGGATACAAATAGTGGCAATAGTAAAAACAATGACTATGGTGGTGACCATTAGCAAAAGAATTCCTAAATTAATAAAGTATAAAAAAAAAACTAGAAAAAAAATGGCATTTTTAACACTACCATATACTTAAAATAGTCTAAGTGTCTATTTCTTTATGTACTTTAAGAAGTGGTAATTCGGGCTAGGATTGTGGCTCAGAGGTAGAGCGCTTGCCTAGCATGGGTGGGACCCGGGTTCGATTCTCAGCACCACATAAAAATAAAGGCATTGTGTTGTGTCCATCTACACCTAAAAAAAGTAGTATTTTGGGGCTGGGACTATAGCTTAGTGGTAGAGCGCTTGCCTAGCATGTGTGAGGCCCTGGGTTCGATTCTCAGCACTGCATATAAATGAGTAAAACAAAGGTCCATCAACAACTAAAAATATATATATATATATATATATATATATATATTTTTTTTTTTTTTTTTAAAGAGGTGGTACTTTGGTTTGAATCTTTGTTCATGTGTTAGAAACTTAATCCACAAATTGATGTGGATATTTTGGAGTAGGCTAATTAGGGTTAGATGAAGATACGAAGGGGGAGACACATGATGTAATTAGTGGCTTTATAATAAGAAGAGAGACCAAGGCTCTCAGGCTCCTGCTTTTGCCATTATGTAATGCCTTCTGTCAGTATGATACAGCAAGAAGACCTTACCAGCCAGGTGCATTGTCATATGCCTATAATCACAGCAGTTTGGGAGGCTGAGGCAGGAGGATTGCAAATTCAAAGCCAGCCTCAGCAATTTAGCAAGGCCCTAAGCAACTTAGAAAAACCCTGTAACAAAATAAAAATTAAAGAAAAAAAGGGCTAGGGATATGGTTAGGTGCCCCTGGGTTCAATCCCAGATACAAAAAAAAAAAAAGAGCAACCCTCACCAAATGCAGCATCTCAATTTTGGACTTCCCAAAATTTAAATTTTAAAAAAATAAATTTCTTTTTTTAATAAATTATCTACTCTGTAGTAATTTAATATAAAACAGACAAGTGGCAACCAATTCCTTAATTTTTCTTATATGATAAATGATTTACTAAAACTTGGTAAGCAACAAGTATGTATAAAGCATCTAATAAAACATCATGAAATTTTAATTGCTACTTGCTAAAATTAAAACTGAATTATAGAAATAAGGTTTCTACCTTTTTCAGGAAATACGTCTTTTACAGAAAAAGCCCCATCATGATCTGAATCACAGGGAGAAGAATCTGGAGTTTTCACTAACACCCGGTCCTTAGGAGGTGATGAAGGTGAGCGAGGAGGAGTAGGCTGTGGAGTAGCCACAGGGGTACACACTCTTGCCTAAAATAAAGTAGTACAACAAGACAAATGGTTTATAATCACCCAAGTACTGCAAGCTCGTTCATAGACTATATCGAATTTAAATGGGGGGGGGGGAAGGGGGCGCAAAATAACAACAACAACAAAAAATAGGAGACTTAAATACCCTGGCTCTTCAGTATCTAGCTACCAGTATAAGGCTGGTCTACAGAAAGCCTCTACAATTGAAAAACCCTGCCTCTGAAACAGGCTTCCAAGAAAACTAAGGCACCCTATTTTAATGTAGAGATAAAGACTATCCATACAGTTGAAGATCAAAACCAACTATAAATTTGATGAGTAGGCCACGCAACAAAAAGGAAGCATTTTAACTGTCAAGATATCAAAAAAAAAAAAACACAAGCCCTTTGGCACAAAGAAACAGTATATAAAAAGGAACAGAAGGATTTAAAAAAGTGGGTGGGGAGAAATAATAATAGGGAGATAGAAATTACTAGGGGAATAAAAAGAGAACATTTTCATACTAATTTGTTGAATACATAATCAAATGGCTCAAAATTAAGGTAAAAAAGAATGACAGTGAAAATTAAGTCTCCTTCCTGTGTCCTTTTTATATAGTTCTATTCCTCAGAGTTATCAAATACTCTAGACTTAAGTCATTTCATATTTATTTATTTTATTGCCAATTCCAAGTTGTCAAAGCTGGTTATTGGGAAAAGTTTTCAATTAGCAATAATCATGCCTTGGATAAATCTCATTGGCTATGATACTACTGTTTTGCAAAGCTTCATTACATAGTCATATAAATTTATTTATGGAATAAAACTCCAGAAGTAGAGTTCTTGATTAAAGAGCTGTGTTTTTTATTTGAATAGTTATTTCACTAAATTTCCCTCTACAGAACTGTACATTTCATACTACCACCAGAAGGTACGAGAATGTCTATTTCCCCAAGGTTTGCCAAACAATAGCTTTATCAAACTTTTAGATTTTTGCCAATCTGATCAGTAAAATGGAACTTCAGTGATTTTTTTTCCCCTTATTATCAGTGAGGCTGACAGTCTTTTTACAAGAATATGGATGAGAAGAAGAAGAAATATCAAGGGCCTGAATAAACTGCTGAAAGAAGATTCCTGAGTTGCGTCTTCCTTGCGGGCAAGGGGTCGCGACAAGTGGTGCCAAGACCGGGGAACCAGAACTTTCAGCAGTCAGGGGTGGTGCACCGGTTAGTCCCAGGAGATGGCTCATGGAAGAGAGGAGACAAACACGACTTTGAGGCTAAGCAAGCATACTCATCCCTCCAAACAGTCACTCTACTGAGGACCGTGAAACCTGAGTTTGAGAAGTTTTCTATGGAGGTGAAAAGTTCTGTTGAGAAACAAGGGCTCAATGAGGAGGATTACGTGAACATGTTCGTTGAAGGATTCCATGATGCCATCCTCCTCTATGTCCTGGCTTTACATGAAGTACTCAGAGCTGGTTATAGCAAGAAGGATGGTGGGAAGATTATCCAGCAGACCTGGAACAGAACATTTGAAGGTATTGCTGGGCAGGTCTCCATAGATGCCAATGGAGATCGGTACGGGGACTTCTCTGTGATTGCCATGACGGACGTTGAAGCAGGGACCCAGGAGGTTATTGGCGACTACTTTGGAAAAGAGGGTCGTTTTGAAATGCGTCCTAATGTTAAATATCCTTGGGGCCCTTTGAAACTGCGAATAGATGAAACCAGAACTGTGGAGCATAGCAACGGCCCTCCTTGCAAATCGTGTGGCCTAGAAGAATCAGCAGTGACGGGAATTGTTGTGGGGGCCCTTCTTGGAGCTGGTTTGCTAATGGCCTTCTACTTTTTCAGGAAGAAATACAGAATAACCATTGAGAGGCGAAACCAGCAAGAAGAAAGTAACATTGGAAAACATCGAGAGTTGCGGGAAGATTCCATCAGATCCCATTTTTCAGTGGCTTAAAAGAAGCCTTCCTCCCCGCCCACCCCCTCTGCTTGAGATTCTTAAGCTGGGATGAAAGACATCCATGGAACAGAAGGGGTGTTCTTGAAGAATTCATTCTTTTAAGCAGTTAGTCATTTTGTCTTAAAATTTCTTTAGAAGCTCAGGAACTATTATTAATCACCATTGGCCTCCTAGCCTTTCATCTCATGACAAAGAAATATAAGGATATAACGTCACTCTGTTAAATGTTCATACTGCTTGGAGGGCATAGAATTAGACTTGTGTTTTTACAACCTGCTGTCTCCATATCTGGATGGTTTCTGGGGACATTTCACACAAGGATATAAAAATGTGGTTTTCTTAAATGAACTGTTTTGTAGCTAGAATAAAAACATTTTTATAAGTAGAATATTCTTGGAAAGAATTTAACACCCAATGAGAGGAAACTGTAATGAAAAAAAAATTCGAGGTTGGAAATACAGTGTCCGTCTCTCTGGAGCTGGAGGACAGGTTGTGGTGGAGCAGGGCTCTGTCTAACGTCTACATTCAGGTCTGACTTCATATCTCGAGAAAGGATCCTCCCTGTCTCTCTCAGTGTCTCATAAAAGCTACTCTGGAAAGTTGTAAATATTAGTGAGGTAGGAGGGTTTTTACAAGAAAAGCAAGTCTGAAATGTTTCTTTCTTTTTTATGTAAAAAAACCTATTTCACACTAACATTTTATTTTTAAGTATTTTAATCTTATATTTTGGTATTAGAAAAATGTGTCTATTTTTTCATTTTGAAGATTAAATTTCACTTATATTTAAAAAAAAAAAAAGAATATGGATGATTTATATTTCTTCAGTATTTGTGGACTCTTTGGTCATATTCTTTGCCCATTCTTAAAATAGATTATTTGTCTCTTTTCATTCTGAAAAAAACTTTATAAATTAGGATTAGCCTCTATTCTGTGAGTTGCAAATTAATATACAATTTAAAAATGAAGCATATGAGAAATTCTATAATATTGCATCATAATAGGCATATTCTTATTCTTTTTTTTTTTTTTTTTGGTACCAGGGATTGAACTCAGGGGCACTTAACCACTAAGTCACATCTCCAGCACCTTTTTTATACTTTATTTTGAGACAGGATCTTGCTGAGTAGGTTAGGGCTTCACTAAGTTGTTGAGGCTGGCTTTGAACTCTCAATCCTCTTGCCTCAGCCTTCCAACTTGCTTGGATTACAGGCATGCACAATTACTCCTGGCCATAATTGGCATATTCTTAACTTTCATTTTAGAATGAACAAAATATATTATGCCTTTCCCCTTCTTGACTACATAAACATATAGCATAAAAATACTGCTTTCAAATATGATGTCATTGGCTACTTTATCATAATGACAAGATCTAAAGGTATTCTAGTGACATAATAATGGATAATGATGATGATAAACTATTTTTGACTATTCCAAGTTCTATATACTAGATTAAGCTCTTTGCATATATCATCTAATTTAATCTGCCACAAAACCTTATATGAGAACTAAGAACTCACAGTATGATGAAGGCATCAATCGCTTGCAAATTAAATCAAAATTAGATTAATTTTCATAAAAATCCCAATGGGATTTTTTAATGATGAAAGACTGGGGGTGAAGCCCAGTGGTACAGCACTTGCCTAGCATGCATGAGGCTCTGGGTTCAATACCCAGCACTGCAAGCTCCCCCCGTGACAGAGAAAGAGAGAGAGAGAGAGAGAGAGAGAGAGATTGATTGATTTGTTATGGCACTTAGATTAAGTGTGGGGCTGGGGATTAAGCCCAGTTGGCAGAATGCTTGCCTCAAATGCAATCCCCAGCACCACACACAAAGTTGGGTGTGGTGGTATGCACCTGTAGTCACCAGGCTGAGGCAAGAAGATGGTAGGTGTTTGAGAGTTTGAGGACAGCCTAGGCAATATAGTAGAACCCCATTTCAAAAGAAAAAAAATGCCAAAAAACTCTTTTTAACATATATTTGAACAAACATATTAAATGGGTCCAAGGGTTAAAAAAAAATGGCAATTGTGAAGATAAAGAATAAATCATGTGGGAGGGCTTGCCTTACTAGATATTCAGTAAGCAGATTTTGGTTAAGTCACAGTCATTTAAACTCTATTCTATCTCTACTATACAGTAAGACTAAAGTATAGAGCTGAGGGGTCAAATCAGGTGTTATGAACTCCAAAGTCAATGCTTTTAAATTTTGTAACGTGCCTATTTACACATTGGGTTTTTTTTTTCCTAAGTTTTTTTTTCATTGAATCACCCTCATGAAAGCATATAGACTAAAAACAAACCAAAGTAATTGCCATAGAGAAAACTACAACCCTGACCACATCAACACTGTGTTCACTACCAAGGAGTTAATAAAGCACAGATTTGGGCAAATTTATACCACACCAATCCCTAAAAACATCAAATTATAACTTTATGTTTATGTACCAAATCGATGTTGCACCTATATATCTTTGTAATCAAAAGGCTCAGAAGTGACTAAGAGTTTTAAGCAGCTGGTAATGACAAGTAAATTTTGGATATAATTTTATAATGCTAAAAAAGCTTAAAAATTCCAACTAACACAATAAGGCAAATATACTTTCTTTTAAAGATAAAAACATCACTTCACATAATAACCTAAAGCAAAATGGCCTTCCTTGGCTATATCTTGAATTTTTTTAAGACAGACATTTCTGGAACAACTGGAGAAATCTGAATACAGTCTCCATATTCTATATAACATAGCAATGTTAAAGTTGGGAGTTATAAGAATGGTATTTTATTTATGTAACATATGTTATTTATGTAATATTTATTTTATTGGTTCTTTTTAGTTACATATGACAGTAAAATCCATTTGATATAATTATGTAAGCATGGAATATATCTTATTCTAATAATTAGGACTCCAGTCTTGTGGATGTACATAATGGTGAGATTCACTGTGGTGTATTCATACATAAACATATGTAAGTTATGTCAGATTCATTCCATTGTCTTTCCTTTTCCTATCCCTCCTCCCTTCCCTTCATTCCCCTTGTCTAATTCACTGAAGTTCTATTCTTCCCCTCCCCCCCTTATTGTGGGTTAGCATCCACATATCAGAGAAAACAATCAACCTCTGGTTTGGGGAGACTGGCTTATTTCACTTAGCATCCATTTACTGGCAAATGTCATAAAGTCATTCGTCTTTATGGCTGAGTAACACTCCATTGTACATACACATCACATTTTCTTTATCCATTTGTTGAAGGGCACCTAGGTTGGCTCCATAGCTTAGCTATTGGGAATTGTGCTGTTATAAACATTGATGTGCCAGTGTCACTGTAGTATGGTGATTTTAAATCCTTTGGATATATACCAAGGAGTGGGATAACAGGTTCAAATGGTGATTCCATTCCTAGTTTTTTGAGGAATCTCCATACTGCTCTCCAGAGTGGTTGCACCAATCTGCAGTGCCACCAATAATGTATGAATGTACCATTTCCCCCCATACTCGCTGACATTTATTGTTACTTGTACTCTTGATAACTGCCATTCTGACTGGAGTGAAATGATATCTCAGTGTAGTTTTAATTTGCATTTCTCTAATTGCTGGAGATGTTGGATATTTTTTCATATATTTGTTGACCATTTATATTTCTTCTTTTGAGAAGCATCCGTTTAGTTTCTTTGCCCATTTGTAATAAAGTACCTTATTTTTAGGTGATATTGCTGATGCATTTGAGGTAAAGTATCATGATGTCTAAAACTTTCAAATGTTTTTTATTTTTTATTTTTTTTCTTTTAAGAGAGAGGGAGAGAGGGAGGGGGGAGAGAGAGAGAGAGAGAATTTTAATATTTATTTTTTAATTATCGGGGGACACAACATCTTTGTTTGTACGGGTGCTGAGGATCGAACCTGGGCCGCATGCATGCCAAGCGAGCACGCTACTGCTTGAGCCTCATCCCCAGCCCCTCAAATGTTTTTTAAAGGATATAATTATGTAGAGTTATTTTTTAAGTGTGCCAAAATACTATCAATTGTGAAATATAGGTAAAGGGTTTATAAATGTCCATTGTATCATATTCTCAACTTTTTTCTAGATTTAAGTTTTCAAAATAAAATGCTAGGAAAAATATTACACTTTAGTCATAGCAACAAGAAATAAAATTTCTGCCATACACCATTATCTTATCTTATGCAGTTTAAAATTCATCTATTATTTAACCATTCTTTAATAATATATTAAAAAAAAAAAAAACTCCACAGAACTCTTTTAATCATAAAAGCAGAGGTACTCCTACCGGAAAACATGTTTCCTTTGATAAAACATCACCAGAAACACTTGTAGCCACAGGATCTTGCTTCTTTGTTTCTCTGTCACCCAGCAAGACAGCAATGGTCTCAGCCAGAGCTTCATTCACAAAATGGCTAATCATGTCCGAATTCACAGGAACCCCTGCATCAACAAAGAGCTGGAGAGCACCATAGCTTGTTCCTTCCACTAAAAAAATAAAAAAAAACTTTTGGAATAAGTGGCCAAGACACCATTTATAATCCAAAACTTAATTCCTAAAAGATTTTAGAGATGCATATATATTATGAGGAAGGGAGAAGAAGTAAAGGTGAAAATACAAACACACCTACTTACCAGGAAAGAAAGCAAGACAATAACTTAATGAAAATCTTCTCTCAATAAACCAAGAAGGAAAGGAAAACATATAGGTGAAAACCTAGTTATACTCTTCCCTGCCACTGCAGAATTTAATGATAAAAAGGACTTGCATTCTTATTAAATGTCCTCATCTGAAAACAAACTAACATTTCCAATTTTGACCAAAGCAAAAGGATGTAATAAGTGTGAGGCGAATTTTCCTTCATCTAGTTTCAGATACACCAGTTATCAACATTACAGGCTGGGGCTCCTCAAAAGTCTACAGCAGTTTAGGTACTTATTAGATGTTCTGTAGATATATTAATTTTCCAATGGGTTTTACTTTTCATTTACATGAATGTATTCAAAATTAAGTAAAGCTTTTCGAGACTTTACTGACCATGAAGTGGTATTTCTAAACAGTATAAATACATGAAGGATGATCTGTACAACCCAAAGGAGATGTGCTCTCTCCAAAGAGTATTCTTTTAGTAGTACAACAATGACAGCAATCTATGGGATTATTTACAGATGTCTTAGGATCACTTGCTGAGGGTAAAAAATAAAAATTTATAGTTTCCAAAAGCCAGGGCTATTTTTATATCAATAATCCAAAACTCATATTCAAAAAATCTCCCTTTTAATTTCTATAATCATTTGTTTGTTTGTTTGGCATGACCAAGAATCAGAATATCTATGTCATAAAGCCAAAAAAGTCCTCCTTAGACACTGGCAAAAAAAAAAAAAAGCAAATAAACACAGTTTTATAAAAAAAGAGAACAGGATATAAATACCAAATTTGGAAATCTTAAAGATTTTCATCCAGAGGCTGAGGTTGTGGCTCAGTGATAGAGTGCCTGCCTAGCATGTGTGAGGCACTGGGTTCGATCCTTAGCACCACATAAAATAATAAATAAAGGTATTGTGTCTATCTACAACTGAAAAAAGAAGAAGAAGAAAAGAAAAAAATTTTATCCAGGGAAATATCAATTTTCTTGTAACTTTGTTGATCATTTTTTTTCTTTCTTTAAAAAAATTAAATGATAAGAGAAAATCCGGGATACAGCAGTGTGGGAGACAGATGCGAGCTTTATTAAACAGGAAGAAGTAACCAAATGCAACAATAAAGAGTATGGAACTGAGATGCAGGTTTTGGCTGAGTCCTTGGGGCTGAGGAAGAGCAAAGAAAAGAGAATGAAACAAACAATAACCCGAAGGCTTTGAAAATTGGGTGCTGGGAAAAATCTGTGTAATCATTAACAGAAATAGAGAACAAAGAACAAGTCTAGGTAGAAAAATTACATGTACTTTGGATATGCCAAATTTGGGATGCCAATGGAGCATCAAGTAGAATATCCATCAATAGGCAAAACTCTAAGTTTACAGCCTAAATGCATGGCTTAAGAGTCATCAAATGACACAGGACAATGAAAGAGGAAACTGGAAAAATAGAAAAGGGGCAAGGCACACAAACTACTCAAGTAGCAGAAAATAAATGAAGAAATGAAGGTCTTAAAGCTGAAAAGATAACAATAGCATAAAGTTGTTATGTTAAAACCCAGGGAACATTTTAAGGATTAGAAGCAGGCAACAGTGTCCAGGCTAGAGCCATCTACTAGAATAAGGATTTGAAAGGGAGCAGCCTGTGAAAATTTTAAGAAATTTCTTAAAGGAGACTCCAGGAAACCAACCCATCAGGACTGAAGAAAAGGTGGACAATGAGAAAGTAAATGCAGACTCTAAGGATAGGATTTGGTCAGTTGAAGATCAGTCTATAAAAGGAGAACAGAAGGTTATTCTGAGACTGAAAAGAAGAAAGACAATACAGGTAATAATACAAAGAAATGTAAAATTTAAAAAAGCAACAAAGTTGGAAAATACTTTGTTTCAAAACTTATCATTAAATTACAATAATCAAGTATGTGGTATTGGTAAAAGACATGTAGATTCATGAAAGTTCACAAATGGATCTAGACATATAGCCAATTAATTTTCAATAAAGGTATTAAGGTAATTCAATAGCAAAAGGAAAAACTTTGCAACAAAGAGTGCTACAACTGCTCAGTGGTAGTGTTTGCCTAGCATACATGAGGCCCTGGGTTCCATTCTCAGCACAACAACAACAAAAAAAAAGCTGGGGATGTTGCTCAGTGGTAGACCACTTGCTTAGTATGCAAGAAGCCCTGTATTCACACCCCAGCACCCCAGCCCCTGAGTAAAAAAAAATACTAAGGAACTAAATGTAATCTAAAACCATATACCTTCTAGAAGAAAACAAAAAAACATCTTAATGATTTTTACTTAGGCAAAGATTTATTAAGTAGTATGTCCCCCAAAAGCCACAAACTACAAAAGAAATATTGATAAATTAGACTTCTTCAAAATAAACCATTTGTCTTCAAAAGATAATGTTGAGAAAACAAAAAGGCAAGGTATAAATTAGAAGGACATATTTGCAAAACACATAAACAATAATGAACTTGTATTTGGCTGGGTATGGTGGCATATACCTATAATCCCACAACTCAAGAAGCTGAGAAAGTATTTCAAGTTCAAGGCTGGCCTCAGAAACTTTTTATTTTGAGACCTTGTCTCAAAATAAAAAGGACTGGAGATGTTGCTTGGTGGTAAAGCACCTCTGGATTCAATCCCCAGTACCAAAAACAAAAACAAATGGTTTGCATCTAGAATGAAAAACATTATAACCCAATAATATGTATAAAGGCACAAACCCCAATTTAAAAATGAGCAAAAGATTTAAAATAAGCCAGGTGCAATAGCATACACCTGTAATCTCAGGGACTCAGAAGGCTGAAGCAGGAGGATCACAAGTTCAAAGCCAGCCTCAACAATTTAGCAAGGCCTTAAGTAACTTAGCAAAACCCTGTCTCAAAATAAAATATTAAAAGAACTGGGAATGTGGCTTCAGTGGTTAAGCATTCCTGGGTCCAATCCCCAGTACCCACCCCCTGCAAAAAAAAAAAAAAAAAAAAAAGATTTGAAATAATATTTCACCAAAGTAAATATGAAGATGAAAATCTGTGAAACATCATTAATCATTATTAGTAATTATACTACTCAGTCACTAGTATAATTAGGGAAATGTAAATTTAAAAAAACACAATGACATATCTCCACATATGTACAATGGCTAAAATAAAAACACTGATATACCAGGTACTATTGAAATTGTGGAAGAATTAAAACTTTTGTACATTGCTGTTATAATACAAAATAGTATATCTGCTTTGGAAAATATTTAGCAGCTTCTTATATACATTTATTTAACATGTGACCAAGAAAATTAAAAAGTTGTCTACACAATATTTGTCAGCAAATATTCATAACAGCTTTATTTATAATAGCCCCAAATTAAAAACTATAAATATCAATCAACTGGTAAGTGTATTAACAAATTTTGGTATATCCATAGAGTATAATACTACTACATGAAATAGTGTAAGTGGTACTGGAGATTGAATCTAAAGCATATTCAGCATAAGCCAAATAAAACAAGTCAGCAAACAAAAACCTATATACTGTATGATTTATATATATGAAAGTCCAGATAAGATAAAAATAGTGATATAAAGCAGCTCTGTAGTTGTTTGTGACCACCAGGCATAGGTGGGGGATAGAAATTTTCTGCAAAGTGGCATTAAGGATCTGGAAAGGTAGCACATTCTTGAAGCTCTAGCTACTCAGGAGGCTGAAGCAGGAGGATCACAAGTTTGGGCAATTCAGCAAGATCCTGTCTCAAAATAAAATTTTTAAAAATTGACTGGTGATGTAACTCAGTGATTAAACATCCCCAGCTTGAATTCTCAGCATCAGGAAGGTGAAGCAGGAGGCAGCAGCATTAAGGGAACTTTGGAAGATGTCAAAAAGGCCTTTCTACAGCATGACTGTGTGACTAATGCACAGCTGCATACTGTGTGACTAATGCACAGCTGCATACATGTGTCAACACCTGTCTAATTGTACACTGAGAATTGTTGAAATTTAAGGCCTTCAAAAAAACTGATAGACAAGCGATAGGAGAGGAAGGGAAATAGAGAAGAGAAAGAGGAAGAGAAGAAAAATATGGAAGAGGAAAAGGAGGAGAAGAAGGAGGTTAAGAAGGAGAAGAATGGTATGGGATTCCTCACAGAAAGAGGCTCATTAAACCATTCAGTGAATACTTAAAACTCTTTTTTAGGTGTTAATCAAGGGTTAGGAGAAATAACTTAAATCCTGAGTAATTTACAGTCTAGTGAATGAGAAAGATAAGTAAAACAACCATAATATAATCTATTAAATACTGTAATAAAAAATATATAAAATACTCTGGGAGAAAAACAGAGTTTGGGGGTGGAAGGAAAGGGGTAGTTTAATAATCTGAGTGCTGCAATATGAAATAAGGGAATGAGGGAGAACTGACCTCCTCTAGAGTACTAGAGAGGAACTAAGAAGTAAGATCTGAAGTAAGACCTCATCTTTTTTGGGGGGTTGTGGATGGAGCTCAGTTGTTAAGTGCTTACCTAGCATGCCTAAGACCCTGGGTTTGATACTCAGTACCACAAAAAACCACCACCACCAACAACAAAATCTTAGCTTTTGTCAGCCAAATGACCTCTGGGATATATAAATCACAATGAACTAAAAGATTCTGTCTTTAATAATAACAACAACAAATTCCATTTCACTTACCAATGTCAGAGGTCATTGGTTCACTTGCCTCACTGAATGAAACACTGGCATTAAGTCTGGCCTGCTGCTGGATTGGATAGAGCTCAGAGATAATCCTTGACATTATTTCTTGTTCTACCCTGGAAGGTGGGGAGATACAAATTAATGATTTCTAAATTTGATTGAAATATATAAAATGTTACACATATCAACCTTAAAAATAACATTTACCTAGGGGCACAAATATTATATGTAAAAGCAGTCATTTGAAAGTTACACCTGAAAGAAGAAAAAAATGTACCTTCAAACAAGATAAAACACATGAAACAGAATCTCCTTGTGGGAGAGTATTCAGATAGTCAAAGAAATCAAATTAAAATCTTTCATGTTAGCCAGGCATGGTGGCCCACGCCAGCAGTCCAAGAGGCTCAAACAGGAGGATTGCAAGTTCAAAGACAACCCCAGCAACTTAGCAAGGCCCTAAGCAACTTAAAGAGACCCTGTCCGAAAATAAAAAAATAAAAAAGGCTAACAGAACCCCTAAATTGAAGATTTGCCTAATGATTGTTGAGCACATTGCATACCTAGGTTTGATTTCCACTCTAAGAATACACATATAAAACTGTATCAGATCAAAATTAGAGAAAAATATCCATCTGCCCTTTCCACTGACTGTAATGAAGAGTAGTTTTCCTCTTAAAAAGGAAAGAAAAGGTTTTTTCCAAAGTCATTTTCGAAAGAAGAAGAAGGGAAAGGAAAGGGGAAAAGAATAGAAAACCTCTGTTAGTACATTTCTTTAGAGTAGCTAACAAACTTCTTAGAAAATGTTATTAAGACAGGTACGGTGGCTCACGCCTGAACCCCAGCTGCTCAGTAGGCTGAAACAGGAGGATCGCAAGTTCAAAGCCAGCCTCAGCAAAAGTGAGGCACTAAGCAACTTAGTGAGACCCTGTCTCTAAATAAAATACAAAATAGGGCTGGGGATGTGGCTTAGCGGTCGTGTGCCCCTGAGTTCAATCCCTGGAACCCTCCCCACAAAAAATTTATTATTATACAAATGACAGACATTTGTAGTAGAAAATATATAAAAGCTTTTAAAAATTTATAATGTTCACTTAATAATTCTAGATTCAGGAATAAACACAATTAACAATTTGGTATATACATTTTGAACTTCTGTTCTATGCACACTTATTTTTGAATAAGGTCTTATAAGCTGGGGTTCCATTGTAAGTATCATTTATACACCAGCAAACTATTAGTATCTTTCAATGTCCCTCCACAGTCTTCTAAACCTAAGGTTAATAACTCTATTAATATCCAGTTGCTTTATTTTACTCCATAAATTCCTTAAGGTTTTACACAATATAATAAGAATTCACTTCATATTTACATGTAATAACAGTATTACTAGTTACTGTTGTAAATATGTGATAAACTTAAAACAGTGACTTGTTTCTAATGCTAGGTGTTATATGGCCTGGTAGTAAATCCATAATTATTTCCTTAGGCTAAGTTTCTGAAAATGAGTCACTAGATAAAAGAACATGTACATTTTAAAGGTTTAATTACTCAGAAAAGCCTCTTGCCACAGCAAAAGTATAAATATTCAAGGACCAAAATAATACCTCCAACAGTTAGTTATGCCTTTAGCATTACATCAATTAGCAAAGGAAAAGTTTAATAAACAAAAAGAGACAAGGAAGATTTTTTGACTAAAATTTAATACTTCCCATTTATATTTGCTACTATCTATTCATACTGAAATCATTGTAAACGCACCACTGAATTAAGCTATTTTCCAATGTTTCTTTTCTCTCAATTACTTTATCCAGAATTTCAGTAGTGGGCTGAAAAGTAGAAACAACTGGTGGAAATGGAGGACCATTATACTTTGTAGAAGCAACTTGAACACTTCTGTTAAATTCTAGTAATGGTTCAGAGCTTTCTGGGATTTCATCACATTTTTCCTCTTCCTGGTAAGAATAAAAACAAAATTATCATGTTCACGTATCTGAATATGAACATTTACTGAGTGCCACGTATAGACAGGGAACTTACCTGGGTGCATTAACTCGCATTTCTAATGTGGGAGCACATTATTATAACATATCAATCATATGTATCACTTTGCAGAAAATTTATTACAAAATTATGTGTCTCTAAAACCCAATTTGGGGAGGGGGGTGGGGAAGACAAAGAAAAAGAAAAAACAAAATTAAAAAAACAATGTTCATTCCCTACAGTCAAAAAAAAAAAAAAACCTAGAAAACTTGATTATTACTGCATAAAATATTTAACAGTTCCTTGTAGAAATTTATATATTGAATTTATTGTCATAAAAAAACTGATGCTTCCAATTATCACTGTTCCCTCTTGTAAAAATTACAATTTAAATATGCAGTTAGAGGACTGGGGTTGTAGCTCAGTGGTAAAACATTTGCCTTTCACAGGTGAGGATCTGGGTTTAATCCTCAGCACCACATAAAAATAAATAAATAAAGGTATTTGTCCATCTACACTAAAAATATTTATAAATAAATAAATATGCAGTAAGATCACCTTATACATTATTCATATCATCATGATCAAAAGAGTTATTTCTGGAATTTTTAAACTGATTATGATGAAAAATGTCACACATCTTTAAAAAAATAAAATAGTCCCCACATACTATTTGTTATAAATAAATAATAAGAATCACATTTATCTATTCTCAGTTTCAACAGCTCTCAACTCATGGCCAACTCTGTGTAATCTAAACTAACCTCCCACCCGTTTCCCCCTTCACGTGTTATTTTGAAGCAATTACAGACATATGAAGTACACACCTAATAAGTGGTAGAGAAAGGACAGGAACCCTTGTCTTTGAACTCTAAATCCCTTGCTAGTTCTACTGTTTCTTTCATTAGGCATGAGGAATATGAAAATAAATAGGGTTCTTGTATCCAAAACACTTATATGGTGCTCAGATAAGAAGACATACCTGTGAGCAAAAAGCATTAATATAACACATACCTCTGCATATTTTAAAGTAGGCTTTCATTTTTTGATTAATAGCACTAGTCTCAGCTCTGAAAGAAATACAAAAAATATCTTCCCTAAAATCCAATGACATATAATATTCAAGTAGTTTCTTTGATCTATCATCCTTTTTTCCATCTTTTATATTTTACTTCCTCCTACTTTTTCCCTACTTCTGTTCCTTTATTTCTATAACTCTGCCTGCATATGGGATTTTCCCTCGAATTTTAAACTATTCACAACTTTTTTTTCTCAGTATAAACTATCAGGTGACCTTTTCGAAATCAAGAGATAAATGTCATAAAATGAAAAAAGGACTGGTTCAAAAGAGGGAAACCAAAAGCAATGGAAAGAAAAAAGAAAAGTAAAAAGCAAACAAGACAAGATGTAGGTTAGAAACAGCAGATAATCATAAAATTTCTTGGAGGCAGAAAGGTACTACAGATAAAAACAACATTGTATTATGGAATAACAACTTGATAATTTTTTAAAAATAAAAGTGAACAACTTGAAGTAAAAGTAAAAGCTAGTTTCTCAAAGCACTGCAACATAATATTGATAGTCAAAAGATATTCAACCACTTGGAAAATACTGGTAGACATACAATTGTTCATGGTTTCTAACCTTTGTTACCTGTATAACATCGATTACTTCATCAAAGTTACTCCCTGGAAATTTCTCATCCTCTTCATCTACCTTCATAAATTGTGGAATCTAAGAAAGCATTTAAAGAAAGTTTTTGTTGTGTTCAATTTTTTAAATCTTATATGTAATTTATATTTCCACATGTAGCATAAATTTGCAATTACATGGCCCTGTTTTTTATTTTAATATTCTGTTCTCAATTTATTCAATTAGAAAATGAAATCAAGCTAGTCCCAAACCATTAGGTCATCATTTCAAAGCAATAAAAAATTAAATATCAGTTTTAACATTTAAAGAACTCCATCAAGGAGCTGGGGTTGTAGCTCAGCTGTAGAGTGCTCACCTAGCATGTATGAGGCCCTGGGTTCAATCCTCAGCACCACATAAAAATAAATAATAAAATAAAGATATGTAAAAAAAAAGGACTCCATCAACAAATGCTATTAAGTCAATTGATCAAAATGTTATGATTATGATTTCTCTCATAGTTTAGATAAAGAAGAATGTTTTATGTATGTAATTATACACAAACTCACAAAAAGATACAGAATCAAGTAATTTTTTTTTTACATAAACAGTCATTTCACAAATTTAGTTTCCAAGCCTTGCTATGCAAAGGCTAGTCACTAAAAACCGCAATAGCCTCTTGCTGAGAACAGAATGATAAACATTTCAAAAAGTTTTTTATTTGTCATATATGTTTCAATAAAATTCTAGCGAAAAAAATTACTAGTGAAAATTAAAAGTAGGTATAAATTTCATTTAGAGTCAGTTCTACTATTTGTAACTATGAGAGATCATTGGTTTTTCTCCTCTCTTTAAAACTACTCCCAAATGACCAAATTTGCTCACAACAGCAAGACTAAGATAAAACCAGGACCATCTACAGTGCTATTTTTCTGTGTAGTAAAGGCATAACTTAATTATTCAGAAGCAAATACATACTAGATTGCATATTTTTGTATCATGACAACATGATGACAATGTAACATCCTAAACTATGAACTCCAATTGTCACTAGATAATTCATATTAAGGAAATCTATAATTTCCTGTAAATCAAAGATTCTTTACCAAAGAGAAATTCTTTATTTATATGAGAGTCTCACAAGTTATCAAAAAGTTATAGTACGGATTATTACTTTCTGAATACTTACAAATGTAAGGATCTAGTAGACCAATGGTATAGAATAGAAGACACAGAGACTAACCATAAATATACAACTATCTTATATTAGATAAAGGTGCCAAAAGCATTCACTGGAGAAAGGATAGCATCTTCAACAAAGTGCTGGGAAAACTGGAAATCCATATGCAACAAAATGAAACTGAATCCCTATCTCGCACCATGCAAAAAAGTTAACTCAAAATGGATCAAGGATCTAGGGATTAAACTAGAGACTCTGCGTCTAATAGAAGAAAAAGTAGGCCCTAATCTCCATCCTTATTAAGGAGGCCCCAACCTCCTTAATAAGACACCTATAGCACAAGAATTAAAACCAAGAATCAATAAATGGGATGGATTCAAATTAAAAAGTTTTTTTCTCAGCAAAAGAAATAATATGTGAGGTGAATAGGGAGCCTACATCCTGGGGACAAATTTTTACCCCTCACAGATCAGATAGAGCTCTAATCTCTAGGGTATATAAAGAGCTCAACAAGACAAGCACCCAAAAAAACAAATAATCCAATCAATAAATGGGCCAAGGACCTGAACAGACACTTCTCAGAAGAGGATATATAATCAATCAACAAATATACAAAAAAATGCTCATCATCTCTAGCAATCAGAGAAATGCAAATTAAAACTATTCTAAGATACCATCTCACTCCAGTAAGAGTGGCAGCCATTATGAAGACAAACAACAAGTGCTGTGGAGGATGCGGGGGTGGGAGGGGTACACTCATACACTACTGGTGGGACTGCAAATTGGTGCAGCCAATTTGGAAAGCAGTATGGAGATTCCTTGGAAAACTGGGAATGGAATCACCATTTGACCCAGCTATTCCTCTTCTCATACTATACCCAAAGGACCTAAAAACAGCATATTACAGGGACACAGCCACATCAATGTTTATAGCAGCACAATTATTCACAATAGCTAAACTGTGGAGCCAACCTAAATGTCCTTCAGTGAATGGATAAAAAAAAAATGTGGCATTTATACACAATGGAATATTACTCAGCAATAAAAAAGAATAAGATCATGGCATTTGCAGGGAAATGGATGGCATTAGAGAAGATTATGCTAAGTGAAGTTAGCCAATCCCAAAAAAATAAATGCCGAATGTCTTCTCTGATATAAGGGGGGTATCTCAAAATGGGATTGGGAGGGAGAGCAAGGGAGGAAGATTACCTCTAGATAGGGAACAGGGGTGGGAGGGAAAGGGAGGGAGAAGGGGAATAGCATAGATAGTGAAAGGAGAGCCTCATATACAAAATACATGTATGAAGATGTGAATTTGGTGTCAACATACCTTATATATAATCAGAGTTATGATAAATTATGATATAATGGTGTATTAAGAATTGTAATGCAAAAATAAATAAATATTTTTTTAAAATGTTATAGTATGGATTATTACTTTCTGAATACTTACAAACGTAAGGATCTAAAATAAATTTTCTTTCAAGTTCATAAACAATTTGAGATTTATTCTGAATCTTTTCTTCAAAAAAATCTGATTATAATAGATTATGATTATGATAGAATGCTTTTGCATGGAATAAAACCTACACTCAGACATTACTCAAAACAGTGATAGAATTCTGAAATATACCTGAATCCAAGTCTGCAGCTGAGGAAGAGAGGCTTCTTTGGGACTTGACAGAGATGAACCACCATCAACACTACCATTTGAAATGCTGTCAATGTCTACACTGGGTAATACCTACAACAGAACACAACATCTAATTTTCCGCATCATTCTGACTCAAATATTCGTCAAAAAGCTAGATAGAAAATGTGCCCTCTAAATTTTTATTGTAAAGTTAATGGCTAACAAACTTTTTAAATTATGAAAGCTTATTTTATAAAATATAAAAAGTAAAGGAGGAAACAGAAAATTCTATCTTAAACCAACTCCATTTCACTATATTCTTTGTCCTTTTATATTTACCTATTTTATATTTATCTATAGATTTATATATAGATATATCCATAGGTAAATCTAAAATAGTTTTCATTTCTGATTATTCACTATTAGATCATAAACACCTTATCATGCCTCTGTATGACTTTATATTTTTATATTTTAATTTTTCAACAAATACCTTAATTATTTTAATTATATTCCTATTGATAAACATTTAGGGTATTTCCAACTTTTCCATGATTATACAAAAATCACCACAAAAAAACTTATACACACACACACACACACACACACACACAGGCTTTTCTTCCTAAACTTTGCTATCAGATTAATAACTTCTTGGGCCTCAGGACATAAATATTTCAGATTCTTAGTAATTACTGGCAAATGCAATCAAAACAATCTCTATTTACATAATCCAAATTTAATTAATCCCAAGTTTTATCCAACTTTCAACAAAAGTTAGATAATAATATTGCTTATTTGGTAACAGTTTTTTATTTTATTTTATTTTATTTTTTGGTACTGGGGATCAAGGGCACTTAACAACTGAGCCGCATCCCCAGCCCTTTTTCACATGTTTGTGTGTGTGTGTGTGTGTGTGTGTGTATTTCACAACTTGAACAGAAACATTGCATTGTAGTCTCCTAGGGGTTGGGTGGGTTTGCACACCTCTAAGGCAGAAGCTTAGGGGCCCATCCTCATATTCATTTATTCATTGATGCTTGGAGGACTTTGAACTCAACCTGTCACTCATCCTTACCATAGTGAGACCTGGCTGGTGGCTGGGCCAGAGAGTGTGCTGGTGGGAGCACTGCTTCCAGCTGCTCTGCTGAGGGGAGGAGCTGGTCCTGACACACAGACCTGGTGCTGCTGTTGGTACGGGTGGCAGACAGAGGGCCAGGGTCCTCATCCCCTCTGGAGGGGACTGGGCAACAGTGGAAGTTACGTGTCACTTTCTGAGTAACCCCACCTCTGTACCCTACCACTCATCCCCAACCCTTTTTATTTTTAATTTAGAGACAGGACCTCACTAGGTTCCTTACAGCCTCCTGGCTACATTGCTGAGGCTGGCTTCAAACCTGCGATCTTCCTGCGTCAGCCTTCCAACCACTGGGATTATAAGTGGGCACCACGATGCCCGGCTTAGTAACAGTTAAGTGTATTATTATTTTATTTTGCATTATCTTGGCTATTAGCAAAATTTAATTTCCTTGATGATTAGCTGTATTTCCTCCTTTATAGACTCTTATTCATGGCCTTTGAATATTTCAGGATTTAGACCTATATGTTTTCTTATTGATTCATAAAGGTCTTTATATTTTTGAATTAATTATTCACTACTATTTTCTTTCATATGTTTTCACTGTATGTTGTTTTCCTTTTTATTTTTTATTTAGATTTTTTTAAAAAATATAAAACCTTTAGATTTTACAGATTCAAATCTAATTTTCTATCATATCTAGGGTTTTTTTTCCCCTCATATCTAGCTATACTTAGCTTCAGCTTTGTAAAAATTCTGATTTTTTTATATTATGTAATTAAACTTTAGCTGTCCGGTTATTCAGAACTCAATTGCTAGTTGCAATAGGAATTCAAACTCTAAAATTGAGTTAAGTCAATTATAAGTGCATTGCTTTAGTCACATGAATTCTATTTCCCACTGATTAATGAAGTCTCTATCACATTACATTATTTTTAAATACCCAAGGCTAATTCTGAAGTCTTGTTATATTGAATCAGTACTCAAACATTTAACTTTTCTAAACCCTTTATTGTTTCAGATATGCAAATGATGATCCTATGGTTCAAGAAAGAAAAAAATCATGAGTATTTTTTAAATTAGAATTTCACTAAAATTATACATTATAACTTGAATATAAAAATAAGTTCTATCTAGCAAGGAGTGGTAGCAAACACCTATAATCCCAGTGATTCAGGAGGTTGAGGTAGAAGGACCTTAATTTTGATGCCAGCCTGGGCAATTTAGGGAGAACCTGTCTCAAAACAAAATAAGAAGGGCTCGGGAAGGGTAGGGCATTTGCAAGCCATGCATGAGACTCTGGGTTTGATCCCAAGCACTGTGAGGGAAAAAAAGGGTTGGGGATATAGTTTAGTGATAGAGTGCTTACCTAGCATGTACGAGGCCCTGAGTTCCATCCCTGGTGCCACAAAAAGAAAGTTATATTTACATTCATTCAACTTTTCTTATATATTTGCATAAAGTTTGAAGTATTATATAAATCTCAACATTCTTTTTAAATTAATTATAATATACTACTCAATTGTTCCCTCCGGATACTGTCAAGTCACCTGTATACAAGTCATTGGCCTAAAAGTAGTTTAAATCATACACAACAAGGATAGGGACATCATATTAACATCACAGTTTTAAAGAATGAAGGAGCCATGATGAAAGCAAAGTTCTCATGAAGTATTATAATGGATTATAAGTACATATTAAGCCAAAGATTTTGCCTTAAAATTTTCTGCTCATGTACTGTGGCATACCTGTACAGAAAGTTGAGGAGGATCTTTTTTTTCTGACTTCATTTCCACAACTGCTATGTTGGGTTTCTTTATCCCAGTTTCTGCTTTTCGAAATGATGGAGGAATAGAAGTTGTCACAGTTATAGGGTGTGGCTTGTTTGCCATTACTCCAGTAGGCCTCATGGAATCACTATTACTTTGGGTTTGTCCTAAGAAGTTTAGGGGAAAAAACTAAAGTCAATTGTTTCAAAAAATAAAGAAACAACCCACTGTCTGGATTTTATGGCTGTTTTCTTGCACGAAAGGAAAGCACTCCTCTCCCTCTATCATCACCACTGTCAAAATGCCATGTCATCCTTTTAGCAGTGGAGATACTTATCAGCATTAACCACTTTAGATGTACTATTTAATTTAACTCTCAAAACAAAGTCTGCTAGGCACTAATATTACCACTAATATTACCACATATTGCCCCAAATTTCTCAGCTTTCCTTTCAAAATCCCACTTGTTTTCTACATTTCTAAGTTAAGAGAGAGTATGATATACTCATTAAAAGCACAAACTCTGAAGTAGAATGCTTGGATTTGAATCTTAGCTCCATTCTACCTGTATAGTCTTTGACAAATTACTACTTAGCCCCTTTGTACCTAGGTTTTTTACCTATAAAACTGGTATATTACACCAAGTGCTCTATTTATTGTGTTAAATGAGTGAACATATATAAAGGGCTTAAGCTTTAAAAATGTTAGCTATTATTATACTAGAAGGCATGTTTAAACACACATTAGCTGTCAAGTTGACATGTCATTAATCATAACATCAAAAATAAAAAATTCTTGGGCTGGGAATACAGCTCAATGTTAGTTAGAGCACTTGCCTAGCATACACAAGACCCTGAGTTCAATGTCCAGCACCATAAAAAATAAATAACTCTTATATTTAAAAATTTCATATTTAAATCATCCATCAAAATTAAGACAAAATGGCAATGGCACCAAAAGGAAAAAAAAGCTAATTAGATTTGAACAGCAAAAATTATTTGTTCAATTTTAACATGATGACCAGAAACCTCAAATAAGTAAATAACAACTATCAGCTTATAATACATAATTACATGACTTCTACTTAACCCAGCCTAGTACAAAAGTACATAAAAGTGCTTTAAAGTACTTTAAAAGCATAACAAAATTAACAAGTCAATCAGGTTTCCTAATTCTTGAATTATTATGAATGTCAATGACATATATAGACATATTATAAAGTTTCACTTCATCTATGACATGTACTATCAAATGTCAAAAGAATAAAAAAAGTTTCCTGTGAGTGAAACTATGGCAGGAATCCCTTATTTCAGATTGCTATTATATAGCAGAAGATACTGAGGCCCTCTCCACATCTAAAAACAACACATACAGGAAAAGGTAAGTGACTATAGTTTCAATAACAGTTCTGATTAATTAAAATTCACCTACATATTTTGTTGGGTCTTACCTAAAAGAATTGCCATAGGAATTAGATGACCTTCCAGTGTACCTGACAGAGTAGGCATTTCTCTGCTTGGGCTGAACAAATATTGCTGATCACCATGAGGTGGTGTAGTAATGGGATGTTGTATCTTAGAATCCATCTTCATAGATTTTGTTGCATAAAAGTCAGTTTGTGTTCTTATTGATTTTACTTTAGTGCCTATAATAATCAACAGTAGATATTTTAAAACATTACTTGGGGCTGGGGTTGTGGCTCAGTGGTAGAGTGCTTGCCTCACATGTGTGAAGCATTGGGTTCAATTCTCAGCACCGAATATAAATAAATGAATAAAATAAAGGTCCGTCAACACTAAAAAATATTTTAAAAAATAAAAATAAAAATATTACTTAAATATCTATTATCTAACCATCTGGAAATACAGTAACTCTTCTTTTTTTTTCTTTATATAGTTCTTTTTTATTTATTTTTTTAATTCTGATTTGTTATATATGACAACGGAATGTATTACAATTGATATTACATATATAGAGCACAATTTTTCATATCTCTGGTTGTATACAAAATATATTCACACCATTTGTGTCTTCATATATGTACTTTGGATAATCATGTCCATCACATTCCACCATCACTTCTAACCCCATGACCCCTCCCTTCCCCTCTCACCCTTTGCCCTATCTAGAGTTTGTCTGTTCCTCCCATGCTCCCCCTCTCTATCCCACTATGAAACAGTTTGATGCAGGTTGTTTTAATGAATCATAATAATAGCCATTATGTATCAGGTGGTTAGTATGTGCCCAATACTGTTAAAACACTTCATGAACTAGATTTCTTTTTAAAGTCATGTTTGTTGAGATATAATTTATATATGATACAATTTACCCTATTTAGTTTTATAGTTAGATGAATTTTGATATCACAAATGTAAAAAAATGACAACATATGTATGGATATATAGTACTACCGTGAAGATACAGAAAATATTACCTTGTTCCCTTTTACTTCTTTTTTTAAAAAAACAAATAGAGAAATTAATTTTAATATATTTTTATTTAACCCAATGGATTACCAACATAATTTGCAAGGAAAATAATTATTAGTAAGGTATTTCATGTTCATTTTCTTTGTCTTAGTACTTCTTTGGAACCTAATGTCTATTTAGCACATAGCACACCTCAATTCAGACTAGATACATTTCAAATACTTAGTAGCCTCATGTAACCAATGGCTGCTATATTGGCTCCTTTCTTCATCTTTCACCTTTTGGTGAGACATATGCTGTAGGCTTCAAGATAAGTCCCCTTGTTATGTGGTTTCTTGTTGAGTTCCATCAGAAAGGGACACCAAAGAGATGAACTTAGAATATACAAAAGTAGAGCAAGGTGTTTTATTCCTTCCTATAAGGCTCTATTAGACTGTGAGTTGGTTTCTACATGCTTTTGGTGGGAATAACTTCAGTTAGTTCACCTTCTCCTACAAGTTTTCCATAATGGCTCTCTCTTATTTTACCTCCTGCCTCATCAAGTTTACAGAGGAAAGGTGCTTCATAAAATTTGTTAGTTTCCCTCAACCTTGCCCTTACTTTTATAAATACCTTATTAAATAGTTTTTACTCTGATTAATCTTTTTCATCCTTGAATCTTTTTTTTATTATTGTTGGTTGTTCAAAACATTACATAGTTCTTGATATATCATCTTTCACACTTTGCTTCAAGTGGGTTATGAACTCCCATTTTTAGCCCATATACAGATTGCAGAATCACATCAATTACACATCCATTGATTTACATATTGCCATACTAGTGACTGTCGTGTTCTGCTGCCTTTCCTATCCTCTACTATCCCCCCTCCCTTCCCCTCCCCTCCCCTCTTCTCTCTCTACCCCCTCTACTGACCTTCATTTCTCCCCCTTGTATTATTTTTCCCTTTCCCCTCATTTCCTCTTGTATGTTCTTTTGTATAACCCTGAGGGTCTCCTTCCATTTCCATGCAATTTCCCTTTTCTCTCCCTTTCCCTCCCACCTCTCATCTCTGTTTAATGTTAATCTTCTTCTCATGCTCTTCGTCCCTACTCTGTTCTTAGTTACTCTCCTTATATCAAAGAAGACATTTGGCATTTGTTTTTTAGGGATTGGCTAGCTTCACTTAGCATAATCTGCTCTAGTGCCATCCATTTCCCTGCAAATTCTATGATTTTGTCATTTTTTAATGCAGAGTAATACTCCATTGTGTATAAATGCCACATTTTTTAAATCCATTCATCTATTGAAGGGCATCTGGGTTGGTTCCACAGTCTTGCTATTGTGAATTGAGCTGCTATGAACATCGATGTAGCAGTGTCCCTGTAGCATGCTCTTTTTAGGTCTTTAGGGAATAGACCGAGAAGGGGAATAGCTGGGTCAAATGGTGGCTCCATTCCCAGCTTTCCAAGAAATCTCCATACTGCTTTCCAAATTGGCTGCACCAATTTGCAGTCCCACCAGCAATGTACAAGTGTACCCTTTTCCCCACATCCTCGCCAGCACTTGTTGTTGTTTGACTTCATAATGGCTGCCAATCTTACTGGAGTGAGATGGTATCTTAGGGTGGTTTTGATTTGCATTTCTCTGACTGCTAGAGATGGTGAGCATTTTTTCATGTACTTGTTGATTGATTGTATGTCCTCCTCTGAGAAGTGTCTGTTCAGGTCCTTGGCCCATTTGTTGATTGGGTTGTTTGTTATCTTATTGTTTAATTTTTTGAGTTCTTTGTATACTCTGGATATTAGGGCTCTATCTGAAGTGTGAGGAGTAAAGATTTGTTCCCAGGATGTAGGCTCTCTATTTACCTCTCTTATTGTTTCTTTAGCTGAGAAAAAACTTTTTAGTTTGAGTAAGTCCCATTTGTTGATTCTAGTTATTAACTTTTGTGCTATGGGTGTCCTATTGAGGAATTTGGACCCCGACCCCACAGCATGTAGATCGTAGCCAACTTTTTCTTCTATCAGACGCCGTGTCTCTGATTTGATATCAAGCTCCTTGATCCATTTTGAATTCACTTTTGTGCATGGCGAGAGAAAGGGATTCAGTTTCATTTTGTTGCATATGGATTTCCAGTTTTCCCAGCACCATTTGTTGAAGATGCTATCCTTCCTCCATTGCATGCTTTTAGCCCCTTTATCAAATATAAGATAGTTGTAGTTTTGTGGATTGGTTTCTGTGTCCTCTATTCTGTACCATTGGTCCACCCGCCTGTTTTGGTACCAGTACCATGCTGTTTTTGTTACTATTGCTCTGTAGTATAGTTTGAAGTCTGGTATCGCTATACCGCCTGATTCACACTTCCTGCTTAGCATTGTTTTTGCTATTCTGGGTCTTTTATTTTTCCATATGAATTTCATGATTGCTTTCTCTATTTCTACAAGAAATGCCATTGGGATTTTGATTGGCATTGCATTAAACCTATAGAGAACTTTTGGTAATATCGCCATTTTGATGATGTTAGTTCTGCCTATCCATGAACAGGGTATATTTTTCCATCTTCTAAGATCTTCTTCTATTTCTCTCTTTAGGGTTCTGTAGTTTTCATTGTATAAGTCTTTCACCTCTTTTGTTAGGTTGATTCCCAAGTATTTTATTTTTTTTGAAGATATTGTGAATGGAGTGGTTGTCCTCATTTCCATTTCAGAGGATTTGTCGCTGATATACAGGAATGCCTTTGATTTATGCGTGTTGATTTTATATCCTGCCACTTTGCTGAATTCATTTATTAGCTCTAATAGTTTCTTTGTAGAGCCTTTTGGGTCTGCTAGGTATAGAATCATATCATCTGCAAATAGTGATAATTTAAGTTCTTCTTTTCCTATTTTGATGCCTTTAATTTCTTTCGTCTGTCTAATTGCTCTGGCCAGCGTTTCGAGAACTATGTTGAACAGAAGTGGTGAAAGAGGGCATCCCTGTCTTGTTCCAGATTTTAGAGGGAATGCCTTCATTTTTTCTCCATTCAGAATGATGCTAGCCTGAGGCTTAGCATAGATTGCCTTTACAATATTGAGGTATGTTCCTGTTATCCCTAGTTTTTCTAGAGTTTTGAACATAAAGGGATGCTGTACCTTGTCGAATGCTTTTTCCGCATCTATCGAGATGATCATATGGTTCTTATTTTTAAGTCTATTGATGTGGTGAATAACATTTATTGATTTCCGTATATTGAACCAGCCTTGCATCCCAGGGATGAATCCTACTTGATCATGGTGCACAATTTTTTTGATATGTTTTTGTATCCGATTCGCCAGAATTTTATTGAGGATTTTTGCATCTAGGTTCATTAGAGATATTGGTCTGAAGTTTTCTTTCTTTGAAGTGTCTTTGTCTGGTTTAGGTATCAGGGTGATGTTGGCCTCGTAGAATGAATTTGGAAGTTCTCCCTCTTTTTCTATTTCCTGAAGTAGCTTGAAAAGTATTGGTATTAGTTCCTCTTTAAAGGTTTTGTAAAATTCTGCTGTATACACATCCGGTCCTGGGCTTTTCTTAGTTGGTAGTCTTTTGATGGTTTCTTCTATTTCCTCAATTGATATTGGTCTGTTTAGGTTGTCTATATCCTCCTGACTCAATCTGGGCAGATCATATGACTTAAGAAATTTATCGATGCCTTCACTATCTTCTAATTTATTGGAGTATAAGGATTCAAAATAATTTTTGATTATCTTCTGTATTTCTGAAGTGTCTGTTGTGATATTGCCTTTTTCATCCCGTATGCTAGTAATTTGAGTTCTCTCTCTTCTTCTCTTCGCTAGCATGGTTAAGGGTCTGTCGATTTTGTTTATTTTTTCAAAGAACCAACTTTTAGTTTTGTCAATTTTTTCAATTGTTTCTTTTGTTTCGATTTCATTAATTTCAGCTCTGATTTTAATTATTTCTTGCCTTCTACTTCTTTTGCTGTTGTTTTGCTCTTCTTTTTCAAGGATTTTGAGATGAAGTATGAGATCATTTATTTGTTGGTTTTTTCTTTTTTTAAGGAATGAACTCCAAGCAATGAATTTTCCTCTCAGAACTGCTTTCAATGTGTCCAATAGATTCCAATATGTTGTGTCTGTGTTTTCATTAATCTCTAAGAATTTTTTAATTTCCTCCTTGATGTCTTCTATAACCCATTGATCATTCAGTAACCTATTGTTCATTCTCCAAGTGATGTATGCTTTTTCCTTCCTTCTTTTATCA